TTTTATCCTCATATTTAACATGAGACCTCGGAGGACGGAGAGGCCAAGCACCTTTCAAGAGCCGTGTTAGTTTCTCAGTGCCAGAGCTCGAGCTGCAGCAAAACCCCACGCCTTCAACAGCATTTCACCTGACACTGCCTACTTTGGGACCAATGTTCCCTTGGGATTTGAGCTTTGATTTCTGGCTCCCCCATGAGATTTTACAGAGCTCAGATTTTTGTTCCCTTTCATTTTTAGAGTAGATAATCTATTTCCGTCGTGGATGAAGCAAAAACAGCTTTATCCTTTACACAAAGGGGCCTGGCTGCCCTCCAGTGTTCTTCCTCCATACCTTTCACAGTGGTACAGACAACCACTGGTTGTCTACAGGTCCACACCAGGACTGCAGCTAAAGCAAAGAAAAATCATATTGTTTAAAATAATGATATATATTTTTATTTGAAAGGCATAGCTGTAGAGAGAGGAGGAGAGATAGCTATCCTATAGCCACTGCTTCTCTCCCCAAATGGCCACAGTGGGCAGATCTGAAGCCAGGAGCCAGGAACTTTCTCCACATCTCCCACTCAGGTGCAGGGGCCCAAGCTCTTAGCCTTTCACTGCTTTCTCAGGCACACTAGCAGGGAGCTGGATCCGAAGCGAAACAGCCAGGACCTAAATCCGTGCCCACCTGGGGTGCTGGCACCATAGGCAGAGGCTTAGCTCGCTACAGCATGGTGCCAGCCCCAAATTATATTTTTCTTATTATTCCCTTTCATACGTATAAAAAGCTCATCTTTCAAGGTCAGTGAATTTCAGTTAAATGATTTCTTTTCCTTTAGATTTATTTGTGAGAGAAGCCAGTTTCATTCACTTAATCTTTGGCTAATAGCTCTTGTAAGGGAACCAAATCTTACTGTGACACTTAATTGATATTATTAATAATTTACAACTTCAAAGGAAGTCAAATTATGAAGGTTACCTGTAGAGTTTTTAAATTAGTTTTACTTCAATATGCACAAATTGAAAGGCTACTGCTCTTGTTTTAAAAATTTGAAGATTTTTATAACCTCAGTGCAGCATGGCATGGATGTGACAGTCCCTGTCCTCTGGGTTAAAATGTTACAGCTGCATTGGATTATGTGGAAGATTCAACTTCCTAAATCTTTGATATATCACCGTGAAATTTCTACTCTAGAACCAAAACACGTTATTTTTCTTCTAGGCACAGAAATGGGGAAGTTCCTGTTGGTGTCACCATCTTAACTTGTTGTCCATGCACCTTCTGGGCACAGCAGGGACACACTTCAGGGACATGCGGACCCCAGCAGTCACTCAGAACCCTGTGTTTGGAGGGACCACCAGGAAGGCTGCTAATACTCTGCACTCATGGTCTCGAAAATGTTGATTTTCCTTCACTTTCATTAATTTATCTGGGAGGCAGGCACACAACAGAGGCCACTTCTGTATGCTGGTTCAGTCCCCAAAGGCCGGCAACAGTCCAGGCTGGGCCACGCCCAGGCCAGCAGCCAAAACTCAGTCCACATCTCCCAGGTGGGTGGCAGGACACTAGGTAGCTGAGCCATCACTTGTTGCCTCGCACGGGGAGCATCAGCAGGAAGCTGGACTTGAATGAGAAGCCAGGTGTTAAACCCAGGTAGAGGCAGGCAATGTGACAGAGAGGGTTAAGCTGCCATGGGAAAAGACTGTGTCCTAGATCAGAGTGTCAGTTCAAGTTACAGCTGTTTGCTTCTGACCCAATTTTCTGTTACTGCACATCCTGGGAGGCAATAAATGATCCAAGAACTTGGGTCTCCGCCGTCCAAGTGGGAGATCTGCATAGAGTTCCTCGATCTTGGTGCCTCCCCTGCCCAGTGTCCCTTTTTGGAGCATGGACCAGCAAATGCAAGAGTCTCCTGTCTCCCCACTTAGATGCTCTATTTTTTAAATAAATAAATGATCATCTTGCTGGACTGTCTGACATTGTCTGTACCAACAATGTCGGGTTACACTTAAATAAGAGACTGAAAGAATTATGATTCCATATGAAGGACTACACTATTGTAGTAAAATGGGAAAAATCTGTTGGGGGGGGGAATCCCAGCCTTTATGAAATTGTACCACCTAATTCAAAATTCAAAATAGAAATATATTAATAAATAAATAATCTTCTTGGTGCCCACAATGGGTAGAGTTGATTAATTTCAACAAGGATTACATTCACGGTTTCTTCTCATCACAACCTCATGCTACTCCATTTTGTGTCTGGTTCTTCCCCTCCCCAGTGTCTAAGATAAAAAAATCAACTCAAGGGGCTGATATTATAGCATAGTACGTTAGGTCTTCGCCTGCAGTGCCAACATCCCATACATGAACTGGTTCAAACACTGCTGCTTCACTTCCAATCAAGTTGCCTGCTAATGGCCAGGCAAGGCAGCAGAAGATGGCCCAGGGCCTTGGGCCGTTGCACCTACATGGGAGATGCAGAAGAGGCTCCTGGCTTCTGGCTTCAAATTGGTATAGCTCTGACTGCTGTGCTCCTGGGGGAGTGAAGCAACAGATGGAACATCTCCATCTTCCTCTGAAAATCTACATTTTTTACAAAAAATAAATAAATCTTAAATTAAAAAAAATTGACTCAAGGCAGATAGCTCCCAAGCAGCTGGGTCTGCTATAAGATGTATCTGTAGGAACCAGCATATTGAACTCTTGCAAAGGTGTGAGACTCTGCTCTTCCTACATTACAGAGAACACCACCCCACCTCCCACACCGCTGCCCAAGCAGTGAGCACACACTTCTTTCATTACCATTTGCTATTTCAGAGCAGCACCTTCTTCATGTTGGCACTTCCTGGAGGGATCAGCTCAGCAGGTCCTCCTGCCCCCAACGCGCTTTGGGAAGGGGTCCAAACAGGAGAGACGGTGAGGGACAGGAAGGGTGACGTGGGGCACAAGACTTTATGGGGATGAGCAGAAATGCAGTTGAAGCAGGATATTCAGTTTTCAGGTCAAACAAGTTCTCACTGTGAAAAACACGTCCAGCGCACAGAGAAGTTCACTTTCGGTTGTCTCTTGTATAAGTATGAATCAAAACAACATACATGGAATTTGCTGAAACTGGCGATCAGTGATGAAATGAACAAAAGATAACCAGTTTATTTACTGGAAAAAGTTATGCATGACACCATATTCAGTTGGGTAACATAAACCAAGATAGAGGGATCAATGCATTGGCTTCTGATTATTGTCTTAGCACCGGAGTGCCGGTTCCAACCACAGAGAGCATGATCAGATACACAAACACTAGCACACAGCACACGGCTTCTGCCATGAGACATTTATGATTGTTCACAATAAAAACCTGAAAAGACAAGCAATCATAAATCATAAGAATTCTTAGAATAAACTCATGTCTTTGAGAATATTTTCTTTGATGTTAGGAATTTTAGAAATAATTAAGAACCAAAGTAATGTCCTAGGTAGTCTTTTAGCCATGTCTTCATGTGGTTATTATTATGAGGTGGAAATGCTTCACATAATTTAATGCCAAAAGGCACAATAATAATAAACCTGCAAGTAAATGTCAGATTAGGTGAGTTCACAACCGTCACAGTTTAAAAATCAGGGTTGGCCACACATGACACATATACTAATGTTAGAAAGAAATACAACACCAGACTCATGTTTGGTTTATCACAAATATGCAGAATCATGTAAATAAAAACACGGAGTTGAAGACAAAAAACTGCCATAAAACACTTTCAAAAAAATCATTCGATTGACCTTAACAATCAAAACACTGAGCTTGAAATTTGTGGCAAGAATGTGAAAACGGTGTCTCTCCTCTAAGATCTGGATTTCCATGGCCAACTGACAGATGATTTTCCCACAAACAGGATGACATTTGCCTCGACACTTGTGTGATCTTTGCTTTCACACTTTAAAAACACACTTCCATTAAGAAGCATCAACTGACTTCCCAGTGTTTGCGCCAGAGAACTGTTAACACTCAGAGTGACTCTGAAAGAAGTTAAAACGAAAGCGTGTCCCCAGTACGTGGTCTACAGCAACTCAACTCTATTCACAGAACTAACCGGGCTCAGCAGTGTAGCCAGGCTTCAGTTAAAGCAGGGCCCATTTCAAATAACTCCAGAGGAAAGGGATAAAAAACACACCGAGGGGCAGAAACATGCATTTCAGTGTGGGAAGGAGAGCAGACAGGAACAAGCATCCCTTGACACTGTTAATGAAGAGCTCGCTAGAGAAATCAGATTTCTAGAACATCTTTTTTTTATAAATACGAGTAAGCTTACATGATGTGAAATATCTCGTGCAAACATTTTATACTGCATACTTCCATGCTCTCTCTGCCTTACACTAATTGCAGTATAACTGCTCTTCTTCATAAATAGAATACTTTTTTGAGGGGGAAATTCGCAATTGGAAAATCTGTCTGATGCTAACACATCTGTTTCGTGAACATTATGAGCAGCAAGGACAAAAGGGAAAGCCAGCTGAAATCTTTCAGATAACAACACAATAGAATCAGGCTACACATGCTGTCCTTCATAGATTATGGCAGTCAAAATGGGCATTCAAATCAAAGATGACTTTAACTGCAGACACAACTCATCTGAGAGCAGTCCACAATGATGGGAAGGGTCACTTGGGGCCCACTGGGCTAGTCTTGTGTATCCAGAGACACTGATTCTAAAGGGAAACAGGGCCAAGGTCAGCACTGATGTCGCCACTGTAACACTAACTCAACAGCGTTTGGAGATGTAGGTTTCCCTTGCCCCCAAACAGACGCGTGTTAACTCTCTGGCAAATTCAAATACAAGCATCACCTTAGCTCACTCTAGTTAGTTCGTAAACAAAGAACTAGAGAGTAAACTTCTCAAAAATCATGACCTTTATCCTAAGAATCTCTTTCCAATCTTATCCTACCTGACATCTACAAGACCTATGCGTGTGTGGCATCCTTGGGTGGTCAGCTCAGCTTCTCACTGGAAAGCCATAGGTACGTGCTCACTTCGGCAGCACAGATACTAAAATTGGAACGACACAGAGAAGATTGGCATGGCCCCTGTGCAAGAATGACACGAAAGCCATAGGTTTCTCCTACTGAGACAAATTCCATCTTTCTTCTGGTTGATGACTGTTATAAATTGACTCTCATCTCAGTAGAAAGTATATTTTATTTCTTCTTTTACAAATCTTGTAACCTCCACTTAAGAACTATAGAGTTGTCTTTAAGACGGCATATTGGGAAGTCTCCACATTCTTAGATTATCTGTCCATTGTGTCATGCAGATTTCAAACAGAAGTATTTATCTGGCAAAAATATCCTCCACAGCATGAAAAACGCAAATGCTGCAGGCTGAAGATCCTTTTAAGAGAAGAGAAAGCTTGACAAGCATTTCCTCCACCTAGGAGTTACACACCTTCTGTTTCTAGACTATCCCCAAGCAATCTGAGTCTTCAGACTTTAACAAGTGAGGGATTCTTTTTAAATAGCAAAATCGCCACATTCTGGACAGGTTTAAAAGACATTATGAAATACAGATGCAAACAAAATGTATTTTTTTAAAAAAGCAAGCATCTTGGAAGAACTGAGGTGGCTATCCTGTTGCCAAGGGATGTAATCTTTCCGACTAGCCAGTAAAACTTCAATGTATGTTAAAGTTTAAAACAGAAGGATGATGGGATTGCGGATTCTCAAAATGATCACGCGACATCATTGCAACATATCATAATGCTTACTACATAACAAATATTCAATTTAAGAAATGCCCTTATGATTACAAACATCAACGATTAATCTTCCATTATTAAATATCCTTTCCCTAGAGTTAATGTCAATCCCACACGAAGCCTTAGTGATGACTCCCACAGCTCCGCTTCTTGAAGATCACTATTGTACCTTTTCTTCCTTAAACTTCTAAACAAGCCCTTTCCAGATGGTTCAATTACATTGTTTTCCCAGGGTACTCCAAACTCTTTTGATTAGAGTCCAGAACCAGATTATTGCAGGATCTAATGAGTGGGAAGCTGAGTGAGATGATTCATCTGAGGTCCCATATACACTCAAGCCTAAGGCAATTTATTGCTCCTTTCAGCATAAGTTTCAGAAAAAAAAATCCTGCCTTCTTAGGAAAGCATTTTTGCACATGAACTATTTTCTCCAGCACTAGAATTGTGCTTACTTAAAAAAAAAATAGCCCTTTCCTTAGCTACCCATCGGTTACCTGGAATCTCGGGTGCCCGCTGGGCTCGCCAACATTTCAGCCTCATTTCTGTGGTCTGTTTTCTTCCCCTGGTATGTCTGCAGTTGCTTCGAGGTTCATGCTGCTTCTCACCAACGCTTCAATCTTTCACTGTCCTTGTGACTCCTGACGCTCTCTTTGCAGGGACTGATTGTTGTCATTGCTGCATGCATTTGTTCACTTTAAATGTTGAGACACAAACACAGCTATGAGCCAGCTTCTGCTGCTAACTGAAGCCTTAGTCGAAGAGGTATGGGACTTTCTCTCCTTTCCCAGGGCCTGTCACCCCAATTAGCGCTTAAAATGAGAAATACACTGCTATGTTTTTTGATCCCTTCAGTAAAGGTTTGTGACACTTCATATTTCCATAGAACTAGTACTGCAAAAATAAGCATTTCCCACTCTACAGAGATTTGAAATAAAATGTGACCCTAACAGATTTCATGATATAAGCTTTGTCACTGGAAGAAATAAGTGTTCTGGAACTAACCAGCTTTAGGAAGGGAGTGGGAAGCAATGCCCAGCTGTGAGGGCAAACCGCCTGGAGTGTCACACAGCTCTGACCACCAAGCTCCTCACCAGACAAAATGGAGAGGCAACAGAAAAGATGTTCTGAGGTACTAAAAAAACAAAAATCATATTTTCTCTTAGGCACCAAGAGTTTTGAATAAAGTCAACCTAGCAGCTAAATCACTTCTCGAGTCAAAAAGGGAAAAAAGAACTGAAGCAGAGACAGGAGCAAGCTTTCTTGAGCTGAACTCAACCCAAGCCCCATGGTGTCATTGATGGCAGTGAATGGGGACAACAGCACCACAAGGCAGGGGACAGGAGCAGCAGGAGAGGACAGGGAGGAAAGACCAGGCAACCAGGCTGCTGCAAGCGGGCCTCGATTCCTGCCTGCTTTTGCACTTGAATCCCAGCACCTCAAGCTGCAGCACTCCTACCAGAACTGCAAAACCCCTCGGCTGCTTTAGTATCAGTATCAGACTCCTTAGCGGGTCTGTGGCTGATCAAAGCTCCCTGTAATGGGCTTCCTAATTCAGCTCAGCCTCCCCAGGCCACTCCACTAAGGTGTGATCTACCTCACCAAGACGAATGATCTACTGTTGGGTCTACACTGCTAATTCCCTACTGTTGGGTCTACACTGCTACCTCTCCTATTTAACAGAGAAGATGGGCTTATGTCTCCAAGAGAAGTTACGGATACCACTGCATGAAAAAGTCAAACCTTTGTGGTTTTCAATGCATTAAGGCTACCTGACAAAGACAAGGACTAGGGCGAGGAGCCATGCTCCCTCATGGAGCAGGAGCCCGAGACTGTACAACCTTCCAGCTAACGAGTTGTCCTTGTTTGTCAGCTCATGCACAAAATAAACTACACCAGGAAAATCCACGATCCAGAAACAAGTCAAGCACCCACCAGCAGAATGCGTGAGTGAATCGGAAACACGCCTTAGTTCATGAATAACAGAAGCACTGTAGGTACCTGAGTGTTTGCCAAAAGGAGACAGTGAGCTACAACACATTGTCTTGATCAAGATCTGACCACTTTCTGGGTGAACTAATCAGCCAAAGTCTACCTCACATCTGTCTCACATGCTTTTTTGCCTCTGTACTTGAGGATTTTTAGCAAGAAAGAAGCGTGGTCAGGATCCTGCATTTGGGAATATGATAGGAATAAAAACAAATATGGTCATTAACTATACCATTTTTCCCTTCGAGTTCTTTAACCTGTGAGGTTATCACTGCATACACACACACACACACACACACACTCTCTCTCTCGCTGTCACTCATCTCACTCTCTCTCACTCACACACATACACAGCAGCACCAGTACAGCTCGCTACGAACTGCATTTTCAAAAAACCAAAGAGGTCATGAAAACTCAAATGAGTCAATAAATCATAACTCAGCCTCATTCTTAGTTTACTTAATAATGTCCAATGAATAATTCTAGTTTAAAAACAACAGCAGTTAATGAGCTACTGATTAGAAAATAAGAACACAGACAACATCAGCATAGCAGCAAAATACAGGTCTCGTTAACATTCGGATGCACCTCATTTAACATTTTGTGCAAGAAGAATGATTCCCCAGCTAGCCAATCCCAGGTTCAAATTAAATTAAAACTCATACATAATCGAGCCAATCAGGCTTTCTGAAAAGAAATGAGTTAAATTCATCTCTTGCAGAAATGTTTTATAGACATAAAACGTACAGCTGAGAGAGTACAAGAACTAGTGGAATCAACTTCTAAAGGCGAATGTGGAGTGTGAGGAAAAGAGACATGACAGCACACGTGTGACACGGTCTTGGTTCTCTCTGATGCTAGGGAGGTAAAGTCAGCGATCTGACATACAAGCTTCCTGTTAATTTTGTATTTTTTTTTTGTAATTTATCTGAACTGGATTCATTTGTAGAAGTATATGTGTGACGAAGAGAAGCCATGAAATGTCTTGTCACTCAGGGTCTGTGCTTCATCCTGATCTTCTCTCATCTTCCAGGATAACAATGATGGGCAAGAATCCAACCGTACATCCATCGCGGGAGAAGCAGGTGCCAGCTGCACAGTGGATGGTGTCGGAGCGTGGTCACCAGGCTTCCACCCCAGGCGCTCATCCATGGGAGGTGAAGACTAGGGGTAAGGAGGCTTGGAGAGACATTGGAGAGGGGCACACTGTGAGCTGCACTGGGGCTGCTCCTCGGAGAGGGCTACGTCAGGACTGGAAACGAGAAACAAGCCATCAGCAAGAGAGAGGTGGCCACGCATGCTCACAACTTTTAGACAGGGATCTTCCCATAGAGTTTAACTGAATCAGAAAGTCTGCACAGAATGAGGTTCCAACATAAAGCAAGCTAAGATACCCGCAGCACCATAAAACTAGGCATTGACAAGAAAAAAGGGGAGGTGGGGCGGGCACACTTGTGTATAGGTGGACATGTGTTCCATATCTGAGTTGCCCTCAGAGCCAGGATGCCAGTTTCCTGCTAAATGCAGACACCACGAGGCAGTGGTGATGACCTGCCAATCAAGTGAGAGACCACAACTGAGCTCCCAGCTCCAAACCTCAGCCTGGCCCAACCCCGGGTCTTGCAAGCATTTGCGAGAGGAAACTGGCAGATGGGGGAGCATTTATTGCCTACCAAATAAGTGAATAAAATGTAAAAACAAACCCTAAGGGGGAAAAAACAAACAAATGTGAAAAACATTAGGAAAGTGCTCCCTGAATGCACAGTCCCAAGTGGGTCTCTCTAGTTTGTGTGTTCCCTGGGTCTCAGGGTTCACGGTGACATGTTGGTCAACGGAGCCTTGGCCATTTCACTGTGCAGCAAATCCTCCGAAGGCCCTGACAAAGCCAGATGCTGATGCAACAGGTGTAAGGGCCTGAGACGCTGGATTCCTAAAGGGCTTCTGGAGGTGTGGACAGTGCTGGCAGAGGGACCACAGCCTTAGAGGCAGAAACACTCTGCTGTCCCCTGCTGGGTCCAGATCCCACAGGGTCCTTCCCCTCCTGTGGAAGGCAGGTGTCCTTTGCTTATCTTCACTTGGTGGCTTACAAGTGACTCAAGTTTTATCCCTCCTATCTTTAAACTCTTCATTTACTAACTCTATAAGGTGCTCTCCCAAAAGACCGCCTCTGAGAGTCTCCAGTGTATTTTGTTTTTAAAGATTATTTATTTGTTTGAAAAGTAGAGTTACAAATACAGAAGGAATGACAGAGATAGGGAGTTGTTTCATTCACTGGCTCACTCCTAAAATGGGCACAACAGCCAGGGATGAGCCAGGCTGAAGCCAGAACTAGGAGATTCATTTGAGTTGTCCACTTGTGTACAGGGGCCCAAGCACTTGGGCCATCTTCCACTGCTTTCCCAGGCCCATTAGCAAGAAGCTGGATCAGAGATGGAGCAACTGGGACACAAACTGGAGCCTACATGGAATGTTAGAACGCAGTTTAACTTGCTATGACCCAAGAGTGGCACAGAGGCTCCAAGTTACATTTGATTTATCTGAGAGGCAGAAGGATATAGAAGGGAACAGACAGGCAGATAAAGGGAGAGAGATGCCACCTAGTGTTTTACTTTTCAACTGCCCACAATGACCAGTGTGAGGCCAGTCTGAAGTGGGATGCCAGGAACTCTGTCCAGGACAAACATGCAAGTGGCTTGAGTGATGGCTGTCTCTCAGGGGTACATTAGCAGGATGCTGGAATCCAGAGCCAGAGTAAGGAACTGGATGTAGGCACTGCATACAGGAGGCAGCTGCCTTAACCACTAGGCCTCCAGCTTAAATGTGTCACATGCAGGCTCATGGGGGTCTGGAATAATGAATAACAAAGTAAAATTATGGACTTTTTGCCTAAAGCAAAGCTAAAATCCAGATTCATGTTTTTAAAAATGTAATGAGCAGTGGGGGAAAAAAAACTGTACCATGGGAAACATTTTTTTAAAGTTGGAGAACATCAGGGTTTTTTAAAAGACTTGTTTGAAAGATAGAGAGACATATTCCATCTGCTGGTTCACTCCTGAAATGGCCACAAGCAGCAGGGTTGAGCCAGGCTGAAGCCAGGAGCCTGGAACTCCATCTAGTCTCCCGTGTGGGTACAAGGGCCCAAGTATTTGGCCCATCTTCAGATGACTTCCCAGGCACAGAAGCAGGGAGCTGCATCAGAAGTAGTGCAGCCAAGACTTGAACTGATGCCCGTTGTGGGATACTGGCATCATAGTCAGTGGTTTAACCTGCAGTGCAACAATGACAGTCCTAAGATCAGTATTTTTTTGTTTAAAGCTTTATTTATTTTTATTGGAAAGGCAGATAGAGAAAAGGAGAGAGAATGAGAGGAAGATCTTCTGTCCAATGGTTCACTCCCCAAGCAGCTGCAAAGGCCAGAGCTGAGCCAATCTGAAGCCAGGAGCCAGGAGTTTTTGAGGGTGCAGGATCCCAAGGTTTTGGGCCATCCTCTACTGCTTTCCCAGGCCACAAGCAGTGAGCTGGGTAGGAAGCCAGGCCGCTGGGATTAGACCTGGCACCCCTATGGGATCCCGGCATGTTCAAGGCGAGGACTTTAGCCTCTACACTATTGCTCCGGGGCCCAAGATCAGTATTTTAAAAGCTGTGCTAGTTCCCTTTAATTTGTAAAATTCAGTACCATATAACCTGTTTCCACCAGGAAGCAATGTTTGAAGGGACTATTCAAGCTCTATTATTTTCACTTTGAATAGTTAGGCTGAAGTCATTAAAATCAGTATGAAATAGCATTTTTTAAAGTTCTCCAACTTTTATCTGTTTATTTGGAAGTCAGAATGATATATATCGAGTTAGAAACAGAGACAAGAGAGAGGTCTTATATTTGCTGGCTCACTCCACATTTGTCTACAACAGCCAGTTCTGGGCCAGGCCAAAGCCAGGGCTCCCAACCCCATTCTAGGCTCCACATGGGTGGCCTGGGAGCAAGACCTTGAGTCATGACCTGCTGCCTCCGGGGTGTGCATGAGCAGGCACTCAGGTGGAGGTGCGACTCTGGAGGCAGAGCAGCCCAAAGTGGCAGGTCAGCACTGACCACTATTCTCACCTCTCCTGGATCTGAATGTAAATCGTAACTGTGTAAAACACTGTGTGTGCTTGGGGTTATGCTCATTGCCTGACCACTTGGAACTGCTATGTGTTCAGCTCAAGCGCAGACTCGGTGTTCTGTACTGGTGAGAAAACCAGGTACAAGAATTATTTTTTAAGGCTTCTTTTTAAAGGTGGGTGTGCTAGAGTGTAAACAAAAGAATGAAAATGGTGCGAGGTTTTGTTGGTTATTTATATATAGGCTGGTCCTGCGGTGCAGCAGTGAGTAAAGCCACCCCCTGTTATGATGGCATCCCATATGGACACAGGTTCTAGTCCTGGTTGCTCCACTTTTGATCCAGCTCTCTGCTAATGGCCTGGGAAAGTAGCAGAGGATGGTCCAAGTCCTTGTGCCCTTGAACCCATGTGGCAGACCTGGAAGAAGTTCCTGGCTCATGGCTTCCGGTTAGCTCAGCTATACTATTATGGATATTTAGGGAACAAACCAACGGATGGAAGAATCCTCTCTGTGTCTCTCCCCCTCCCGCTGTAACTTTCTCAAATAAAATAAATATTTCCTTAAGAAGTAAATAAGTCAATAATATTTAAAACAGAACCAAAAAAAAAAAAAGGCAAAAAAACAAGGAAAGGAATCATGAAGCAGCTCTGGCCTCCTGGGGAGCCAGGTAGAGCAGCTTCACCTCAAGCCCCCTATGGCTTCGAACGCCTGCGATCCATGTGACTGGGGACACAGTCCTGGCCAGTAGAGTGGTCGCTTCACCCTAGGTGGGTACATCCTGCAGATTATATGATTCAATACTCTAATTCTTCCCCCCTACCCCAGGGGATGAGGCATAATTGTTCTTTTTTTAAGTTTACTTATTTGGAAGGCAGAAAGACAGAAAAGGATGGCAGCTTAACTTGCTGCATCATAACACTTGCCCCTTGGTGATATTGGTAAGGGAGGACAAAGGTTCCAGCTTGACCAGCGGACGTACTCCAGCTTAGTTCAGATACTGATGCATCTAGCTGGATCTGACCCTTTGGCTTTATGTCCTTCATGATGGCTTAAATTTGGTTTCACTGTTTAAGATTTCTCAGAATGACATTTTACAGCATAGTATTATTGCTTTAATTTGCATAAAAGGGCAATCATGGTGTGCATACCATGTCTATACAACCTGCAAGAACATATTATTATGGGTTAAGAAATTGTTTCTTGGTGTGGACCTGAGGCTCAGCAGGCTAGGCCACACCTTGGGGTCCTGACATTTCATACTGGAATGCCTGGGGGGGTGGCGGAGTCCTGGCTCTTTCTCTGCCAATCTAGCTGTCTGCTAAAGCATCCTGGGAAGCAGCAGAGAGCGGCTCAGTGGCCTGGGCTGCTGCCACTCACATGGGCGATCCAGATGCAGTTTCCAGCTCCTGCTTTGGCCAGGGCTATTTGGGGAGTGAACCAGGAAGGAAGACTCTCTAGCTCTGCCTCTCTCTTTGTAAATCTACCTTGAAAAAAAAATTCTACCTTTTTTTAAAAGATCTCTCCCTGGTAGAGATCAGGTTTTCTGCCAGGCAGGATCAAGAAGGGAAGGGAAGCGTTGGCTGAGTCCCTCAGGGCAGAGGGGGTAGGGTAAGAATGCCAGCCTTTCCCAGGAGTTCAGACAGGGACCCTCTTCCACCTGTGCCCATCTCCCCACTGCTGTGCATGTCCCGGGCAGGAACAGCAGTGCCCACTCTGGGCCACACCATATGCGGGTGGGCACCAGGTGTAGTCACCATCAATTCACTTGCTTTTCCTTGCTAAAATTTTATTTATTTATTTTCACTTTATCTGCAAAGGAGGAAAAGCAAGAGAGAGATATAGACAAAGATCTTCCAACTTGTGGTTTACTTGCCAAGTGCCCATAATAACTGGAATCGTATCAGGCCCAACCCAGGTGGCCAGAACTCCATCCGGGTCTCCCACATGGTGGCGGACACCTGTCGCCTCCCATGGTGCATGCCAATGAGAAGCCAGAATCAGCAATTCTGGGACTCAAACCCAGATGCCCCACTGTGGGGAGGACCCTCCCAGCAGAATTCTAACTAACCACTGCGTCAAACGCATATCCTACCATCTGCTTTTCTTTAAGTGACATCGCCCCTGTGGAGGTCGCAAGGAAGTTGAACTGTGCAATTTCAAAAGGATGGGTGTGGGCACACAACTCTTTAGTCAAACTGGTTCTCAAAAAATTTAAAGAAATAAGACTCAAATGATAAAAGTTTCCTCCCAGTCTTCCCATTCACTCCCTTCTACCAGACCAACAGCAATGGCCTTGTATACTCTGCCCAACAAATCAGGGCTCTGCTGTGAGGTGTGAGGGTCCATCAGGTGCTGAGTAAGAGTCAGGACTGGTGACAGACACATGGCAGACCCCATGGGCCAGGCCTGTGCCTTATCGAATCTGCTCAGTGACAGATCCTCTCCTTCCCTTTCAGAGCAAAAAAAAAAAAAAGGTGGCAAAGCCTGTATACCCAGCAGGTGCCACAAGTAGGACTCACAGCCGAGCCACTGAGCTGCTTCCTTCCATTGGTTTCCACCCATCACGAGTCGCCCGCCCAGGACACCATCCCTGGTCCCCAGTGAGGCTGCAGGGGGCTTCGTGGAGAACCGGCTTTGGACTGAGGGCAGGTGCTCTCCCTGGCTACTTGTGCGCACTTCCGTGCGGTGTGGGCAAACAGCAAGAGTCACAGTCAGCCCCCTGGACTGTGGAAAGGCCAGAGTAGAGCCAGTGACTAGCAGAGACACTGTTAGTGGGTTAGCAAAGGATGTTCCCACACAAAAGCGCTGCTGCTTGAAGTGGGGATGGAGGAACAAAGAAACACTCATGGAGAGCCCCTCCTGGCTGCCTTGCCGCTAGTTTGCCAGAGAAGTACACTGGAAGGACAAAACGTGACCGTCAGATACACATCCTAAAACACCAGCAGTTTCTGCATTTGGGAAGGATAGAAAGCTCTGGACTGAGCCAAGTTACATACCCAACACCCCCATCTGCCCATGGGGAACACCTGTCCCCAGGGACCCTGGGGGTGTGTGGGCAGCCCTCATCAGGACCCAAACGCTGGACAGTCTGACTCTGGGTGAGCAGTGGTGGTGCTGGGAGTTCCTGGGGGCAGCATGCAGCCGGGTAGGGAGAGAAAGGAGGCGTGTTTACCTGACCGTCGGGCAGTCTGTCCTCCCAGCTACTTGTGAGCACTGTGGCGGTACGGAGGGAGCAGGCTGCTGACAATCTACAAGAAACTGATAAATTAGGCATGGATACAGAGAGACGGCACAGCGAGGCGTTAGTAACAGAACTAGAGAAGCTGCTGCGAGATTTAGTGAGGAATGTATCACACAAAAGAGCTTGCTGAGGTCTCCCCACCAAAACCTCCCCCAATAAAAAGAGGCCTTTTTTGTAATTAAAAGCAATATTAAACAATTAGTGACAAAAATTAGAAGCAAGATTTCTCAAGTACATTAGGACAGATAGGGCTGTTCCTATCTGGTGTTCTGATAACATCTACAAAGAAAGGGTCTGTTGAAATAACGGGAAGACCTTCAAGTTCTGAAGTTGACCATGCTGGGAGCTCTGGGCTCAGACTCACACCTGCTGTTCCTAAAAGGAATATGTTCTGATGCCTGCCTTTACTGCCAATCCCATCACGACACTAAAGAGCATCTTTTCTGCGATGAATCACAGGATACTGGACAGGGAAGTCATCTTTGTAATTTCTTGAAAACTGGTTTCATAGGTTGGAAGAAAGAGCAGTTTAATGGATATTATTTCACATGCTTCTTGTGTCGTAAATTGTTAGCAACTGGACTGATGGAGAAGGCTAGCCTGGGTGAACAGGGACTCCAGCTGGCTTCGTTTTGGCCATTTGTAAGTCACATCATGTTGAACTCACAGCAGGTCACTCAGGGTCAGCTAGTGACAGTGCACGGTTCGGCTGACCGAGCTGTTACTGCCTCTGAGAGAGGCTGTGCACCTGCCTGCTGTTCTAATGACAACAGAAGAGCACTCTGCCTGCTGGCATCAGCTGACTGTACCGACAGTATCTGAGAAGCTGGGGAGAAGTTCCTACATCCTATTTCTGCAGAAAGATGTTTGTAAATGGGTTACAACTAGAGTTAGAAGTAGCCTTCAGAGAAGTATTTCCTGTTGCTCACAGTGTGGACTATGCACCTGCTAACAAAACTTCTCTCCCTGCAGTTTTGTGACTGCAATTTCAGTGCAATAATCACAAACTGTGGGTTTACAGCCTTGGCTCCATGAGGTTCCTCTAGAACCTGTAGTTGGAAGTGTGAGTTCTAAGTACCAGTTCTTTAAACCCAGTGCAATCTCTTGTAACAAAACCTGCCAATCTCACTCTAGAATACCAAAATTCACAAAAGTGGGTGATGCTTTTAAGAGGTTGCAAATACACTGAAGCTACCGGTCACTATAAACTAGAATTCGGCATACGGCAGCCGCCACGTGAGGCTATTCATGAGAACGCCGTCACAGAAGAGACCCCAATCACTGCTGAGTAACAAGAGGAGACAGGATTCGCATGGAGTGTGATGTTCAGGTTATCTTTCTCAGGAGAACTATTTCAACAGTAATAAAGGTTTCATTTCCTCAGGTTTGGGGAATTCACTTCCCTCTCATGAACTCTTTTCCCATTTTCTAGCTGTTGGAAAGATTCCTGGTCTTGGGGGAGGCATTCCACTGTCTTCCTAATCTTTACTGCTTTTATCTTTCCCAACACCTTTCCTCTCTGGCCATTTAGGCGTGTGTGGGCTAATGGATATCACCATTTTGCCAAGGCCTTGATCTGGCAGGTGTGTGCTGCCCTCCAGTGGTAGACCTGGGTAAATGAGATGGAAGTACAGAGCACCTAGAGTCAGAGAGGTGTCTCCTGGGGGGAGATTGGCTTCTGTGGAACGCTGAGAGTTAGAAATCAAGGCTAAAGACGGCTGGAGTCTTTTCTGTTCAGCTCGCTTACCCTAGAAATGCTTTGCTTTACAGGGAGGAACCCACTGAGCAGCTCTGGATGCTGTGGATCCCAGTATGTCTTAGCAACATCTTTCCATCTTCAGCACCGATTCCCTTCGACTAGCTTAGCACTTTTGCCTGTATTATTTCTAAGCGCTTAGTCAAGTACGTCAGCCTTAAGGAATATAAAGCCAATTCCACAGGCAAGACAGGGACAGCTGGAAACACTGAACCTCACTCTGACCTGGTTGTCTTCTGACACCCTCCTCTGAGCTCCACAGCCCTCCAGACCTGTTCTCTTTCACCCCATCATGTGGCAGATGCTCGCACCTGCACCTGAGCATGCAGGGGCTGGATGGCCCTCTGAGATGCTCCTGATGTGCTCAGTCTGGAAGCTCCTGTGCTGCACACCCCGCTGTGGGAGAGGGGGTGCACTTGGTGCAGAACCCTCACAGCCACAGCCGCTGTTGAGCCGGCAAGGGCTCTTTCTGCCACTCAACAGTCAAGTCAGGACACTCCCCCTGGGAGTCAGAAACTGTGTTAAGACACAAAAAGGAAGCAGCGAGAAGATAGGCCCTGCTTGACTGAGACAGACACCTGATGCCAGCTGCAAGGAGGAGGCACGATGATGCTAGCGGTGGCTGATGGGGAGGATGGCAATGACATGGCATTGATGGTGATGGGAGGTGACAACTATGAGAGCATCCAGTGCCTATGTATGTGTGCCAAGTGTCAGACTCTGTGCAGGCACTCAACAGGCTGGCCCTCCTCTGACTTTCTTTACAGAGGAAGGAAGAGGGGGATTCAGGGAAGGAACCTGACAAAGTCCACCATGAGGCGGAGGTGGCAGTGGAATGCAGGGTTTGATGGCTGCTGTGACAGGGGACATGCAGAGATAAACTGAGCCTAACCCAGCTCGGCTAAGCTTGGGTGTTTGAGGAATGCTTCCTGCACCCTGTGCCATTGAAGCTGGCACCAACAAAGCCCTACTGCATGTCGGCAGCCCACACAGCTGCTGGTGTCAACTAATTGTAATGAGACACTTTCTCATAAACATACAGGTTTACTTGAAGTGTCCAGGATTTGCTGAAGGTTGCAGGGAAAGGCCTGAGGAGTATCACAGGACCTCAAGAGATTGTCAATGTCCCAGCAGCAGGTTCAGGGAGGTCAGAGCTCCAAGCATCCCTAGGTTTGTCCGGTCTGCATGGGAAGAGCATCCCATTGAGACAGGAAGGTGTAGAGTCAGCAGGAGACAGCAGAGCCGAGAAGTCACTGACCCAGCAGGAAGGCATCTTCCCAAAACACTAGGTATCTGGTCCAAGTCTTCGCAATATTCTGTAGTTCTTATTTCCACTGTTCCTGTGTTGAGGATATTCCTGCATTGGCATCCGAGACTGTGTCAAAATCTCACACATTTTAGGTTAACTCGCTCTAACTTCGCTCATGATCTCTCTCACCAGAAACACAGAGCATGGCACCCCAGGATACTCTCCTCAAAAGTATACCTCTATGTACCTGGACTGGCCCAGGTCACATGGCCAGGAAGGAGCAAAACCAAGGTACAAGTGTAGACGTTTCAGATGCCAAGTGCTATTTTCTACTCTTTCTCTTGTCTTCTTTCAGAGTGATGAGGGATAGGAACCAGGAAGAGAGAAGTTGTCAGCATGCAAGATGAGCGGTACAAGATTGGACTCCTACCCAGCTTTCAAAAAGAGGAGGCCAAGAGGCATGTGTCTGCCTGACAGGGAGATGGAGCTCACCAAATGGTTTTCTCTGAGACCTCTGCCATTTTGAAACCACTCCATGCTAAAATCCAATATCTGCAGAGTTCCAGGAGCCTCTGTGTGGCTGTTCTGGAAAGAAGGCAGAGACCAGTGTAGGAGACAAGAGCCCAGCTGGGTGGGCTTGGGCCCACGTGGCAGCAGTGGGTGTTGATGAAGCTGCAATGCGGAACCATACCCAGCCACACTGAGCAGCAGGGCTGAGGCTGGCACAGGGCCCAGACTGGCAGCAGAGCAGGCCTTCACAGTGGCCAATGTCACCTGCTGCATGGCTCGCAGCCCACCCTTTGGTCTTCTCTCACCTAAGAGCTATGCATCCCTACCTCTTCCTGAGACCCTACCTTCTGTACCATCTCGCCCCCTCTGGGACCACAGAGTGCACATGCACTCCAAAAAACTTCCTCATGTCCTCCTGAGTGCTCTTCAGGCCAAACAATCCAAGTTCTCCCTCTGCAGGCATGTCAGCTTCTCACCCAACCTGAGTGCGGATCCTTGCAGACAGCAGGTGTGTGTATGGAGGGGTGTGGCATGCGAGCAGGGTGCGGCTGGTGGACAACAGAATGGCTCAGTCTGGTCTGCCCTCGTACATCCCGATTCTATGGATGCTGCAGAAAGTAGCATGGCATTGGCAGCAGTGACATCACACTGCTGTCTCAGGTTGAGTGGGCTTGACTCACAGCCCCACCATCCTGTACTGTGGACTTCAGAATCCCAGTGTTCCCTGGGGATCCCTTCATCTTTGTGCTAACCCATAATGCCTTCTGCCTTTCCCTACCCACTGCCACCACTGAATCCCACTCTGCCATCTAGCATCTGGCTTCCTCTTCCATTTCTCATAAGAAATGGAAATTCAACCATCAGGACTGTGATATATGACTTATTAAGATTAGCAACTCAAACTGGGCCCAGGGTGAGAAGGGGCCACACTGTGTAACTCTCCATCAATGAATCTGGACCCACTGCCATGTGTCATCTACCACATTTGAATCCAAACAAGTGCATTATTATGCAGAACTGATTTCTGCAGTTATCTCCAGAGTTTTAACATGGGCCTGCTAATTGTTAAGCAAAGGTCAGGTATGCGGTATTACTGCTCTCCCTGATTGTACAAGGCAGAGAATTAGGGCTGTCCAGCTAGCCTGCATTGTTCTTGATGAGTTCATGCTGCTTTTCGCAGCTGGCTTTCTGCTCAGCAGAATGTATGCTGGAGGGAGGGGATAATGACCAAATCCATGGTGTTGGGCCAAACTAAACTGATGGAAGAAAGTGAAACTTAAGTACTTACAAAAGTAGACAACTTTCTGCACACTGCATCTGGGCAGAGATAGAAAAACTGCGTTGCTACAAAGGCTCCCCAAACACAGGCACTCTGTGCATCTGGACATGTCCTTTGGGAAGCGGTTTCTGCAAAGCCTCATGGGACTGGGGGACAGGAAAACTATCCGGCAGCAGGCTCCTGTGGTGCCTAGCTCTCCTCTTCCTTGCCTCTCTCTTCCATCCCAGTAGGCACATTAGGGTACATTAGGGACACGCCTGTATCCAGCTCCAGCTCAACCAACCAGCAACTAAGAAGTTACTAAAGAAGTAACTGCATTATTCTGAGCCTCAGTTCTAGCCTCTGGATTAGAACAGTACATCTCTATCTTGCATGGTTTGTAAGGGTTTCAAGTGAGGGTACATGAGGGCACATATCCTGGGGTCTACCTACTAGATGAGGAAAGGAGGTAGTCATGGGGGACCTTCAAGAACACCGTGAATGCTGTTGGCAATGAGAAAACAGAAAGGCAGGACAGACTGTGTGCTGGATTCATTTTGGCAAGATGGTTCCCTGACAGCTGTACTCATCTGAAATGTTGTCCCCTCTGAATGAAAGCAGCTCCTATTCGGCATTTCTTGCACAGCCCCTGGGCCTTGCACTCCTATGCCGTGTCTGCTCTCCCAGCCTGCCCATGCAGCTGGTGAGGTCTTGCAGGATCCTACCTGGTAATTCTTGGCTTCCTTATAGCAGTTTGCCCTGGCTCTACTGGGTTTCTAACACTGAGAGGATCCTGGGTTGCAGGTCTTACCTAACACCTCATTAAGGCCAGGGCTGGATGGATCCAGTGAAGAAGCAGGGGATGACAACTGAGGCACACCAGTTGCCATAACAACACCCTTCTAACAAATGGAATCAGAAGGAGAAAGTACTACAGCTTGCTATAGATTTTAAAATTAACTTAGACATATCAGATCATCAACTGTTCTTCTCAGGGTGTTCTGAGATTCTAATGTACAAATCTTGAAAATAATTTTAATAGCCATTACTTAAGAGATATCGAAAAGCATGAGTACTAAATTATTCCTCACTAAATCTACAAAATGATGGTGTGTTAGTGAAATAACACAAAAGTTAATGGAAAGAAGCATCAAAACACATTCTGCTTGTAATAACCATTTGAATGTTTAAATTGTCCTATGGACTTCTTAACACATAGACTGCAAACACAGTCATATAGAGAAGAGAATTCAGCAAAAGCAAAAATCTGAGATAGCAATACTACGTAAATAAATATGACCACGTGAGATAGAAACATTTACATTCGTATTAACAGCATTTAGAGGAAGATGTTTTAAAATTTAACCAACTGAATGGTACATTGACATTAGTGAAATGGCAGCTGTGAACAACATTTAGCATTTTATAATCAAACACACAGAGTTGGCTATCCCATCCCTGAGGGTCAGGCATGTGTCTGCCCTGAGAGATCCCAGCAAGAGGTCAACTGAGTCATTTTCAACTTTGCAGGGCTGCTAATCTCTAATCCACCAAACACTTGAGACTTAGTTATACCAGTGTTTAACACAGCCAACTGCATAACAGGTTTATTTCTTTGTTAGAAACAATTACTGTTTATTAAACATTCCAGAGAATAAAACGCGGCATGGCGGAAACATCAGAAAGTGTTCATCTGCTGAGGTAAAACCTGGGACAGTCATTGTGGGCATCTGGCTTTGCCTTCACCCTGGGGTCAAGAGCAGAGGTGCCAGCCCTGCCGAGTTCAGCATAGAGTCCCGGCAGCACCAGCCAGGACGCAGCAAAGGGAGCACTATCAGGCTTTGTAGCAGCCCCCATCGACAGCCAACTGGCCCCTGCTTCCTAGTTGCACAACAGTCGCAGAAACTTCTCTTTTCTTTCAAAGGTCACAAAAAAAGAAATACGAAAATGCCCATTTGTACACTTGATTTTTCTGCTTCCGAACAATTTACAGTTCATCCATAACCATGTGTGTTTTTGACAGCTTGAGCGGGAAGAAAAGAGATTTATAATGAGGAGGGATCCACAAGGAGGCAGGAAGAGGCAAAAGGCTACTTGCTACCAGATCCTTTGACCAACCCAACAGTTCTTGGGTCAGAAAGGGCCCTTTCCAGAGCAACACTGGCTGGCCAGGAGGGAACGTGAGCTGACAGGGTGATCTGCTCTTGTTAAGTCAAGTTATCCACAGTGCAAATCAAAGCAAGCCTGGCCACCCCTTTGCGATATCAAAATGAATTCATCATCAAAAAGGAACAAAAGAGAAATACATTAAACAAACTACAATCAGCAGCTCACTAAAAGGATCAAATACAATGACAGATCAGAAACAAGAAATAATGTGAGACACAACTCGTTGCGATGTGTTTGTCTTATTTTCTATTTTTGTTCATTTCCAATGTATTCTGAGGGGTTCAGAGTAGCCTCTGTAAACTGATGGGTCTGACAATTATAGGCTTTCACCAAGGTCGGTGGTTTCTTAGTGTGTTTACTCTGAGAAGAAATCATGATGACTTGTAATGTACATTTCTAGGGGAAATGAGTCACAAGTGCCATGCCCGCCAGAGCAAGCACCCTAACTGTGAGCGCAGCTGGGCAAAGGAAAGGCAGCAAGTGTAAACACTGGATGGTTCTCAGATCCAAGCTCACAGAAAGTGTTTATTCCTTTAAAAAAAAAAAAAAAGAAAAAGAAAGAAAGAAAGGAAAAAAAAAAAAAAAAGAAAGAAAAAGATTTCATAATAACAAGCTTCCTAAAAATCAAAGGATTTGATTCTTGGAAATTTCACTTAAGCAAAGCTGTTCAGAATACATCTACTTAGGAGAACACAGTTAACCTACAATCTTATAGACAACTTACCTCTTTTTGCTTTGGATGTCAAGTAGCGCATAAAAAGAGAGAAAAGTTTCTGTTTAACTGATTCTCTTGTTGTTACACAATGGCTTACTGCAGAAATACCTATTCAGGGTCAAGTGCTACACTGGTTTTTAAAGGAAGCTATGAAAAGTGAGGAGGCCAGGACTGCCTGGGGCATCAGAGACAGCTGGCAGGTTCACTGGGGCAGCCTTGTGTGGGGTGTGGGCACCACTGGGCACAACACGAATGGCACCCTTTCCTACTTTAACTTCCTAGTCTCTGTTGCCATGATGTACACTGATTTCCTATGCACAGTCAGACAGGATCTTAAGTACAGCTTAGGACAGAGAGAGAGGAGAGAGATTCACCCTCCTTCCAATCAGGCTCTCTCTAGCCGCCTGTAGCAGTCAGGACTGGGCCAGGCCACAGTCAGGAGCACAGGGCTCCAGCTGGGTCTCCCATGTGGATGGCAGGGGTTCCAGTACTTAGGTTGCCATGTGCTACCTCCAAGGATGCATCAGCAGGAAGCTGGATGGGAAACAGAGGTGCCAGAATTCAAAGGGTCATTCTTACATAGGATGCAGGAGCCCCAAGTGGAGGCTTAACTCCCATGCCACAATGTTGACCAGTTTGTAACTAGAAGGAAACATCAGCTCCTTCAACTAAAAAATGAAACAAATCCAGTGTGTACAGTCACTAAACACAAGTTTAGTTGAAACGACAGTCTTGTTTTAGATCATCATTCTGGAAGGTAAGTGTATTTTCAGGCTTATCTTTAAATGCAAATTTTAAAACTTACGCACAACTGTTTCCTTAAAATAATTATAAGAGGAACGATGAAAGCCAGCCCATGTTCTGAGAACATTCCCTGCCTCATGCTGACCCAGAACAGCCCTCTGGAGGGAGAGGGGCTCGTGGACATGACACAACATGTATATATGGCAACAGATAAGGAACATCTGTTGGGTGTAGTTAATGAGAAAAGGCAAAATAAAGTTGTTGTCATGTGTCACGTACAAAAATCCTTCTTTGTATGATGCTGAGCGCCTGTCAGTGACTGAACTGCTGGCTGTGAGGTGACAAAGGACAATGAATGGAATGGCTCTGTGACATCTTGATGACTTCATGCTTTCGAAAGTAAAGGCAGGAAGGGATCAGGCTGCCCATTTTGAGTTGCATTTTTTTCCCCTTTTCCCTCTCTGGCCTTTGAATCAGAATGCTCTGGGGAAGCAGCCATGAACATCAGCTGGCCAAGGAGATGGGTGTGGCAGGAAGGCCATGCAGGGAGGGGACTGGCCAGAGGCACCTTGCTGTCCCACTGCGAATACACTGTTTAACTCCTAGGTCACTCTAAGTAGTTTAAACGTAAACACTACATTTCCACTCAGTCAGTTAAATGAACAGGGGGCCTCCCATGGCTGGGCTGAGCTCTTGGCCACAGATGCTGCTCAGTGCCCTTGGAACTTGGAAGAGCCCCTGAATCTAGGGTTGGCACAGACTAGAGAAAAGTGCATGCCCCCAGACTGCTCACAATGGCCCAGGGCAGCGTGGGCCTGCTGGCGGGCACCACAGCAGCCTCCCTGAACACCATCAGCGGTGCCCAGGCTCATGAGGCAGTGTGTGCGTACTCACGGCACCTACACCCCACCTGTGTGAGCAGGAAAGGCCAGGTGTGAACTCTGCACTTCCTGCTTTGGACACTTAGTCCCTAACACACAGACACATTAGAAGCTTTGGTAGGCCCGAGAGTCAGACTTTGCCTTGGAAGCTTAACTGTGTGGTGCTGAGATACTATTTTTCTCTAGACCAAGTGATACAGGGAACAGCTTGGATCCCTAGCACCAGAGAGCCTCAAAGCCGGAAGAAGTCTCTCCAGGACTCCTTCACTGGCATCCCCTTCACGCTCACGAGCATCAGTGGGCAGGAGGACTGTGAGCCGACCAGTGGCTTCCTTGGCTTCCTGTGGGAGGTCTCCAAGAACTTCATGGAAAATGAGCATTGTGATAACCACACAGGGATTACCAAATTCTTTGCACCAAAATAAACTTTTCATTTAAAAATTAATAGACTCACGTATTTAAAAGGCAGAGTGACATAGAGGTTAGTGTCTGGGAGGAAGGGAGGGAGAGAATGAATGAGAGTTTTCCTTTGGCTCATTCCCCAAATGCCTGTAACAGGAGGACATGTACATTACAGGGATCTAAGTACAAAGCAGAATCAATTTACACAGCCAGTTGAAAAGAAAAACTCTATGAGTCACCTTAAATCCTTCAAAATCAAGGTAATACCTAGTAAAAAAGATTCTGTGCAGACATTTTGCCTACTTAAAACCATAGGTAAGTAAGTTCCCCCGGCACGACAGCCACTCGCTCAGGACAGGTCCCGAGCACCGGAAGCAGGGGAGGCGGTGATCAGAGGGAGTCCCATGAGTGTGTGGCACACGCTGCCTCTCAAAGGTCCAGTAAGCAAAGGCACTGCCCAGCTCTCCCCGTGTGCTCCGACGGATTACATGTTGAGATGAAACTATTATGGATACGCTGTGTTCAATAAAATATTAAAATGAAGTTCATACGCTCCTTTTTACTTTTCTCTAATGTGGCTATGAAAGTTTACATTCATGCTACATTTCTGCCAGACAGCTTTGGTCTACAAAGCCAAACATTCTTGTAGCCATCATTTTACCGTTTGGCAAAAAGTTCTGTCTTACACATGGAAATATTTTAAGCTTCCTTTTTTTTTTAAAAAAAAAAAAAGATGTTTATTTATTTGAAAAGCAGAGTGACAAGAGAAACCTTCCATCTGTTGCTTACAGTCCACATGCCGGCAACAGCCAGGTCTGGGTCAGGCCCAAGTCAGGAGGAAGGAGATCCATCCAGTCTCCCATGCAGATGGCAGACAAGTACTCGAGCCTTCACGTGCTGCTTCTCAGGGCGTGCGTCAGCAGGAAGCCGGACTGGAAGCAGAGGAAGGACTTGAACCTAGACACTCTGTTACAGGATGCGGTGTGGGTCCCAGGTGCTGACTTACTGAATCAAAATGCCAGCTCCACTTTCTGAATTTTGAACCATCATTACCCTCCTGAAAAAAGTACTGTGAAACTGCTTTTTAAAATAAAAAGGAATAAAAGAAAATAAAGACAGAAAAGCCTATATGTTTATGTGATAATACTTCAAAAAGTTTGTGAAAATAGAATGAAAATTAAGTTTATTTTAGTGTAAAAAAAGTGGGGCAGATATGAGTAACTGACCTTGTTTTCCAAGAGTCTCCTGTGCTTCCAATACAGACTCTACTGCATCACCTGTGTCCAACCACAGCTGAAATACACTGTGTACTTGGAGCTACTGTAGAAAACGTGGGCCAATGACCAGTTATCTAACGAGCTGAAGGCTTACTATGTGCCAGAGGACAGAAAACCCAAGGAAGCCGAGTTACTGACTCCCGAAACTGACAGCCTCGCAGGGGACCACGGCTGGGGCAGCGAATGCCACCTGGACAAGATCTCGTAGCATTTGTATGTGCACAACAGCCAGGCCTGCATATGTGACACATACAGCTTCCACGCTTTGTAAGAGAAAAGAAGAAAGGTTAGAGGAAAGGTTATCTTAAGATTCCACAATACTTTTATATGAAATTGGTTATCTGAGTGAAAACCAAAACTATGCCTCAACCTGAGGATACTGAATTCTTACTTGACCAACGTCAAGTATAGCTATTTGGGAAACCTTGAGATCAATTCCTTTACTGTTCAGTTTTCAGTTGGGTGTTTCTTGTTACAGCAACAGCTAATCAACAGCTGTTTCAGATGGCATCCTTAACACTGTATATTCTAATTCAAGGTTATTCTCAAATAAAAGAGCTCCTCTAAAAGTAAAGGTACCATTTGAGGAAACTCTGAATTTACTCAAGAATGGTAGGGTTGTCATACATTTTAACCATAAAGTACAGCCCAACAGAAACATAAAAGACCCTTGCAGAATGAGTGATTCACTAAAATCTGGAGATCTGAACCCATTTTTAACTGCTTACTACACTAGGATAAAACACTCATAGAAAAAATATTTTTCAATTAGTGGTTGGTCATTTTATAAGTTAATGTTAAAAAAAATTCTTTTTTCCAGAGTAAATTCAGTAAGTTCTTCAGCATCAGGACATGCTCAGGTCTTCCTCCACAGGAGAGAACTCTATGGAACCTACATCAGGAGAAAACACAAGTCTAAAAACTTGAGGACTCAACAGAATACTGTTCATGCCTCCCGTGGTCAAGAATAGAGTCTCGTGAGAAAGTGCAATGACACGGGGAAGCGGCCAGAGGGCCTCTACAGGAAAAGCACTTTACAGCACACAGAGCACTGGGTTGTGAGTTCAGGAAAGAAGTCCAAAGGGCACTCACTGACTTACACACACGAAGCAGCACAGGCAACAGGAGCAGGCCGAGCACAAGCAAGACACCTGCATCTCCAAACAAGCTGACTTCTCCAACTTGACACAACAGCTGTGAACATTCCCATCCCTAGCCTCTATCAGCTGCATATTTTATTAGTTTCTATACTGGTTTACTTAATTTTTACTAATTTTTTTTGTAAATTAGCTTATTTTTCTTATTTGGAAGGTAAAGATATATATAAGGTAAAGATATATATATATAGATATCTATATATATATCTATATCTATCTATATCTATCATCTATCTATCTATCTATAGATAGATAGATAGACCCCTTCTATCTGCTGAGTCTCTCCCCAGTTGCCTACAATGGCTAGGGATGGACCATATGCCAAAGCCAACAAGCCAGGAGACTTCAATCCACACCCCTTAATGGCTGGCAAGGCCTCCAGGACTTGAGCCATTCCAGGGTGTGCACCAGCAGGAGCTGGAATCAGCAGAGTGGGGACCTGAACACAAGCAACCCAATATGGGACGTGGGCTTCCCGGGAGCTGTCTTAACTGTTGTGCCAAATGTCTGCCCATGTACTTGCCTGCACTTTATCCTACATGTTACCCACCTTGCTGTCAAGATGCTTTTATAATGAGAGCCTGACTCTATAAGCTGTCAGTCTGCCATGGAATCTATGCTACTCTCAATAATCTGGTCCACTGTTCTCAGCCCCTTGCTTCCCTGCCCTCACCTTGCACCCCCAACCACCAATCCAGTCTCATTTCCCATCCTTTTCAAGCCCTGCCCCAGGCTCTAGCCCACACTTGTAGCCTTTGCACAAGTTGCCCTCCTTTCCTATAAAGCTCTTCTCACTAACACCTGCCCAACACTCGCATCTTACCCAGGAGCATTCTGAACCTCAAGCCTCCTTCATTTAGGCCAAGGAAACATCTCCCTGCTTGTGTGCCTGCCTGTCTCTCTGATTACACTCGAGTGTCTTGAGGAACAGGGGTGGCACTTTGCATGAATACCATTGTACATCAAGTGCCAAAAGTATCTGACACCTAATAGGTGCTCAAGGAGCCGGATGCACGGTAAGTCCTTGGTAAATAAAATTCATCCAATCCTGACGAAAACAGTGAATGAGAAACGTGCTTAAGGAACATAGGACTGGCAGTGCAAGCAAGAAGCAGACCACTCCGTGTCCACTGGTCTGACTTAAAGAAAATGCAGAAGCCATTTTGCATGATGGACACATCTCTGTGTATCGTCGTCTAACAGCAAACTTTTGCATGTAAAGCAAGCATGCTTCTGTAAGCTGCTTTAGAAGTCAGCACACAGAAGAAAAGCCTCAGACTTCAACATAACACCATTCTCTCACAGCAGTTCAGTTTAGTTCCAGAGAAAGAAGGAGGGAAAGAAGGAGGGACTGGAAACATTAGGAGAAAGCTAAACACCCACGAGGAAAGCTCCCACATGGAAGGCAGGGAGTGGAGCACTGGGACGCCACTCCACAGGGACATGCTCTGTTCATGCATTGCAGTCAGATGCTCAAGACAGAAATACCAGCACAAGCCCATGCCTGTGAATGGTACAGACTCCTCCCGTACATTCTGATTGGCCACTTTCACCTTTTGGTTAAATGATAAGATACTGTTTGATTACGGTGACTTGACTTGCGTAAGTAGTGAAGGCAAAACATGAATGCACTAAGGGTTGTATGAAGACACACAGCCTCCTGCCTAGTTACCCGCCTCCTTGACAACTACAGAGTCCCTCCGGATTCAAGGGCATCAGAGCTGTCAGGCCCCCTCTCAGTCTCACTGGCCACGGAGACTGCAAACACTGAGAAGGGTACGCAGGACACACTGGTGTCTCAGAGAAGCAGAGGGATGAAGTCAAGGGCAAAGAGCCAAGTGTGGCCTTCCAGGAAGTCTGGCACTCCAGGGCCTGAGGCCATAGGAGCTGAGCCAAAGGGGAAGACCAGGGCCCGAGGTTCCCCCACAAGGGCCTCACCATACAGCATATCAGCTGGGGCAGTGCACCGCTTGGTCTGTGCAGACGTCCGCGTTTGAAAGTCAGTATCATCTGAGAGTGGATCCTCAGAAATGAGACCCTGCGTGGTTGGATGTTGAGCTTTTCTGCTGCCTGCCTCACAGACACGGAGCCAGCACAAACACAACTCTGGGAGGGTAAGTCACATATTCCATGCTCTAAATTCTTACATAAGATTTATTTATGTACCTCTCAAGTCTTCCAGTGAAAGATAAAAAGCAAATTAAACTCATTTAATTTTTACTTATATAATGACTTCAATGCTCCCCAACAGTAAAATAACCTATATTTGCCTGTAAGAATAATTAAAGTCATGTAAGAAAATATTAAAACTATATTTTAGAGGACAAAGCTTGTCACAAAACACTCTCATAAATAAAGAGGCAACTGTCCTTTAAAAATGATTAGTGTATATTGTTACTAGCGAACACATTTCATAATAATCAATAATTTATATTAAGGTCATAAATAAAAAATGCTCATAAAAGCTACCGTTTCCTATGGGTTCATGATGTCTCTTGCACACAATAGAGGATTGGCTTTATATTGCATATTTCCTTCTCTCAGCTTAATGAAAACATTTTCTACAATAAAAACATCACAAAAAATAATTCAGCTAATAAAAAAATACTACTGAAAAGGCAAGTGTTCATGAAATAAGTTTGGTGTGCAGAGTTTCTATAGTAATCCATTTAATAGGATTTTTTAGAAAATGCTATTGGACTGATCAGAAAGAAAGCATTCAGGATTAATTTTGTTGGATGTAAGATACAGAATTTAAAGTTCTTCAAAGTATAAGAAAAACTTCTTATTTTTCCCTCTTTTACTTAAAATTCAAATAAATGTTGAGATATATAAAGCACATTAGGTAGTCATTACAGTGATTTCCTAGGCTTGTCATGATTCTGAATCCCAGCTAATCTTAAGCTCTCATCTTTTACGTAGTCATCCTGGGAAAAGCCGATGACAGTCTCTGATCTTCCAAAACAAAAGAACGTAAGGTGGCAGGCTGGTCCTTCCACTCGTGTAAGCTCAGCAGCCAGAGAGCTGTGCAATGTGTGTGGTGGGTAGGAGACACACACGAAGAACTGGAATGAGTGACAACAGGAAGAGCATTTGGTGGGGTTTCAAGTGCCCTCATGGATCCTTTCTGACAGCAACATCAAAATGGAGCCAAGCAACATCAGGGTGGTTCAGTTTTAAACCAGTTGGTTCCCGTTTGAGAAGAAACTGAACTAATGAGATGCCAAATGCACAAGAACATCCCCAGCAGCCTTTGAGAACATAACAACTAATGGAACACTTAGCAGACAACCAGAGGGAAGAGGTGATTGGTGTACACCGCCTGATGTCAAAGCCAGCGTGACAATAGCCTTTCAACATAAAATAAGACCAGGCAGAAGCATGGGGATGTTGATGATATGTCAATGGCTCAAGAATGTATTAACGAGATAAATACATATTCATGCAAACAAGAGTCAGGCACACAGAAATGAAAATAGCTATTGTCGTTAATATTTACTCTTAACTTTTAATCTGATTGGCATATTACTTGTCAAGTTAAAATACAGCAGGAATGATATTTATGGCTCTTATCTATTTCTTTTTTTTAAGTTCTAGGAGGTAGTGTTTGAAATATCAAAAAGAAAAAGTCTCCTGGGAAGTTCTGTCTAAGGCACGTGTCCCGATCATTATGACTAAGGTGGCTTCTGGAATAGTCGTTTTAGGATACCTTGCAAAAGGGCCTAGACCAAGAGGACTTGAATCATGAAGGCAGGAAGAGCAGCCACTGTTCATGTAGGCATACAGCTTGGCTGTCAGCCATTCCAAGTCATGATCGCTCCTATAAACTTGCCGGGGGCGTTGAGCATCAGCATGTGTTTCCATACTACATCTTTCAACCCCAGCAAGTAGGCTACTGATAATGACCCAGACAGGAAAGCATCCGACAACCAAAGGCTGGGGTTTCCTAACAGCAACTATGGTAAAAATGAAAGTAAAACTTTAAAAAATTCTCCGGCAAAGGCATCAAATTCCATTGCTACTGCAGGGGCCAGGAAGTAACAGAGGTGGGTTCCTAGAGCAGGCTGAGGACTGCACCAGGGAGGGATGGGGCCGGGAACAAACTGCAGAGCTTGCCTTGTCTCAGAGCAGCAGCCAGCACAGAGCTGACTCGTGTGAATGCAGGCCTGGGCTGGTAGGAAAGCAGGCTCCTCTAGAATAGACCACAGTTAGATGTTCCTGGCATGCCTCTGAGTTTGTAACTCCTGACAACTAAGTTGAATGCATTTTAACAGCTGAATCACGGCCACCCCTGGGCTTTCCAGTTTGCCATCTCTGACCCACATGTAAGATGCTGAGATTTCTCAAAGGATGATCTTGATCTGCCAGAATCACATTCTCTTTATTAGCCATAAATCACAGTTTCAAGTTAGGCCTTTTCTATGGGGAAAGTAAGAAGCAAACAAAAGCTAAAGCAAACAGGAGTGCACTAGTAAGCACAAACCCAAGCTTGCAAACTGCAAGGAATTGTACGATCCTAAAAAGCAAAACCTTCGAGGATTTGCGGTTTATTTCCTTCCTCATGCCTGAGAAGACATTCTGAGACTCTGCAGAAGGTCAGCACAAGGGCAAGTTATCAAGGCAGCGCCCTTTGCTGAAACTACATTGAAGATGTCAGAAACACAACCTGTGATCAAGAAGCGTCGGCACGAGCCACCAATCCTGCATAGAGCCCAGGGTCACGCCCTGCATTGCACCTGCTGCTAATGTCCCTTTCCTAATCCCGTTCCTTCCAATCCCCACTCTCCATCCTTGGCTGTGGGAAGGCAGCCCAGGACACTGCCGAGGAGGGACGTCCGGCTGCGGCTGAGGAGCCAAAAGAAAGCCCAGTGCACGGCGGTCTGACGTTAGTGCAGGAAAGTCACACCTCATCCAAGGCTGACTCTGTGGCCGACGGGTGGGCAGGGGCGCTCGGAAGGAAGGGGAGAGCCCTCTACCTGGCTAACCGCTTGCATCACATGCACCCAAGGAAAAAATGTTTACCTGGTGGAGCCACGGTTAACCTTTTTTCCTTGCTGAGCCGCTGCCCTTGGAGGAATTCACTCATGGAAGGGGGGCCCTTCGGAAGAAATGATTCTGTGGAGGTGGGATCAGGGGGAACTCTTAATAAATGCTGTAGGTAGGAAGCCCCTGGTGTCCTGGGACGGCTCTGATCACAAAGGGGAGGTGAAAATTGTCTTGCAGGAGATCCAAGAAAAATACATATAAGAAACAAAAAAGTTTTACTTTAATTATCTTTCAATGCCTCATCAGTGACAACATCATTTATATCTGCATTTACTTTAATATTTATATATATATATACACACACACACACATCTATAAATTAAAATATTTGCTAATTGCTTTAGTTTTCACATCAACATAAAACCCTATAAGAAAATACTTCTGGATGCTGGAAAAGAGATTTAGCACAGTTAATATGATCCCCAGATAGAAAAGGAAAGTTTCTAAAAATAAAAATGGTTACCACCAATTGGGAGTACAGGGTCAATAACTTGACAGCTAGGACTCTGGACAAAGCTTATAAAACTGAGCCATTTGAACATTTTATGAGAAGTTTCTCTAAGCAAGACACATGTGCTACAAGAAAAAAGCACAGAAACCTGCTTCTAAGCAAGGACTGTTTGTATTCCACCCCATTTCACAGAAGCAGAGTTGGCCCAGGCCAGTCTGTCACCAAAGGTGGGGACGTGGAGATGTGGGCAGGCCTCTCCCCAGTAGAGCCCATCCATCCACACCGGCACCCCGGCTCAGAGCAGCAGGGAACCAGCACTGCGGGCAGGGCCTCGATAAGGTTGAGAATGGTCTTGTGCCCGGTGTTGACCTTTCACCTGCTCGTTCCCTGCCCCCCCCTTTTTTAAAGACTGGGACAGGCACACTAACGCATATCATCAGGAGCAGCACAAACATCAACAGACGCTTCCAAGTGCTATTATGAAGGTTAAGGACGAGGCGGGGTCCAGGACAGGAAGGAGCACACACAGTCGGCACAGACCACGGCCCACGAGGCCCCCGGCAGGGCAGCCAGGGCCCACGAGTGCACCGCTCCCTCCCGTGGCCCCCGCCCCCGCTAGTGAAGATCGCTGCATGCATACCTTTTCCTCTGAGTGCCACTGCTGACCCGAATGTTGGGTGTCTGTGGGCCCTGACTACGCAGGAAGTAAGTGTCTATGGCGGGCAGGGTGACTGATGCCTCCCCACTTACTTTAGGGCTGCCGAGCTTGCTCTTCCCAAGCTTGCCTTTGCTGCGTCGGGACTGCTCATGGTCAAACTCTAAGTCCTCCAGCCGCTGCGTCAGGGCGAGTTTTTGCTGGATAGCCATGCGCAACAAAGTGTTTAGAGTCTTCTTCTCATCCTCCGCGGCTGCTAACTGCCGCTGCATCTCATCCAACTGGGTGACATATTCATCGCATCTGGACTCAGGAGAGGAAGAACGATCAGAGAGGGAATCTCCGTGACACAAAAGGAGGGACTCTCCCCACAAAGCCCAGCCGGTCGTCCTGGTGCCCAGCCCGGAGACCGTGCTCAGTGGAGGCCTACAAACACACGCCAGGGCCCATTCATGTCATTTTCGCCGCAGTATTTCGGTGGTTGTCCTACTTTGGTACCAGTTACTGCTAATGTCTTGCTGTGCCTAATTTACAGATAACAGCCATGGGTATGGATGTACAGGGGAAAAACCCACAGTGTATACAAGGGTTGAGTATGATGTACAGTTTCAGGCACTCACTGGAAGTACCGGAATGTATCCCATGGCTACGGGGGAACTACGTAGTGAATGAGACTGGGATTTGGAGATTAAAACAAGCCATCCCAGCCACAGCATGGCAATAACCTGCAATAGAAGAACTACAAAGAATGGAGCAGACAATGGAGACATGGGTCTACTCGGGGTCACATAAACCCAGGGACAGTGACTGTGTGGCAGTAGCTGAGGAGCAACGAGTGTCCCAAATGTCCCCAGCCCGTGCTGGGAAGGACAGTGGCTCTGTCTATGGCATAACACTCTATGGATCCATGTGCAGGTATGCTACAGTCTATGCCCACCGCCTTCCAAAGAATCAGGTGTTCAAGAAGACATTTCCTTCCTGTCCTATGCTCACAGGCTTTATTTTAATCTGCTGCAGACTGCGGACACTCCTGACTGCAGATGCTCCTGTTTCCAGTGTGGCCAGAAAACACTATTCTCAATGACATTCTCACATTGTTTAAGAAGCTAAGATGTGGGCCTGGCGGCGTGGCCTAGCGGCTAAAGTCCTCACCTTGAACACCCTGAGATCCCACATGGGTGCCAGTTCTAATCCCGGCAGCTCCACTTCCCATCCAGCTCCCTGCTTGTGGCCTGGAAAAGCAGTGGAGGATGACCCAAAGCCTTGGGAACCTGCACCCATGTGGGATACCCAGAAGAGATTTCTGGATCCTGACTTCGGATCAGCATAGCATTGGCTGTTGCGGTCACTTGGGGAGTGAATCATCGGACGGAAGATCTTCCTCTCTGTCTCTCCTCCTCTCTGTATATCTGACTTTCCAATAAATAAATAAATCCTTTTTTAAAAAAAGAAAGAAGCTAAGATGCACCCAGGGTTTGATACAGATGGGACAGGCTGTCAGGTTTTCCACCTGTCCTGTAGCAGCACAAATGCATGTCCAGGGACCTTTCTTCCCCACCAATGGCCAAGCTGATCCCAGTTACATCCAGAAGGAAGCAGTGGAGTAGAAGAGCCAGCTCATTGTTCAGTTATCCCCTGAGTTTTCCGGCCCATTAGGATCTGAATTACAAGCACCTTTCACTCACCCACACAGAGCGACTTCAGGCAGTTATGCACAAGGCACAAACTCTGCAAGTGGCTCTTGCCTGAGGCCCTGCGAGGGGAAAGCAGGCCCTGAGGTGTGAGAACCTGACCCCCGGGAGGGTCCTGTGATGGCTGATGCTGTGTGTAAAGCAGCACCATGGGGAGATCGAAGCTTAGCAAAACCCCACGTAACTCTCAGGACCCAGGACTGATTGTCGCTGGTCAGATGACTACAGTGCAGTGGGAAAATCCTGTGGAGCAAGGCTGCTCCCATCCCTGAGAAAACGTCTGAAAATGGACGAGCTGGGGGTGACGATTCGTACCTAAAGAAGACTGAGGCTTTAAAAGCTCAGTTAAAATCATTTTTATCTTCTTCTCAAGAGGAAATTTGTGTTTATCTGATCCTAAATGCAATGCAGACTTCTTTCATTAAAGAGGGGCTGTATTCTATCCCCCAAATGCCACCATCTGAGTCCCTCCAGCCAGTTCCCCAAGTAGTTATTTGGATCCAACCTTCCCACTGCCACCTGCCAGCATGTCAGTGACCAGGGTCAAGTCTGCACCATCTCTCACTTAACACACAAAGGAAGCCCAGCAGACTCTGGGCGGTTCTGACAGAGCCCAGCTGTTCTCTCCTGTATGTGGGTCACCTACAGGTAAGTTACACTTAATCTGCAAGTACAGTCAGCAGCGGTTTGTGAATTTTGTATCACACAAGATGCAGAACTGTCCTTTTAGGAGGGGCATTGCACTGCGACAGCAAAGGAGGCATTTCAGTGGTATCTACTGAGAATCTCCGCATGCCAAGCCTCTGGAATCAGGGCACGCTTGCTGACTGCTTCAAGTCAGAAAGTTAAATACAGCAGTACTTCATAATGAAACTGCCGGAAGGAGGCTGAAACTAGTATTTGCATAATCATTTGGACTGTGTGAAAAATTTGCATACATATTTAGGCATATATACATAAACACACATACATGATTACATTTTAAAAATTATAACTTAGGGGTCATTGCAGCAGCTCATCAGGCTAAGCCACTGGCTTGCAACACCAGCATTTCGTCTCAGAATATGAGTTCCAGTTGCTCTATTTTGCTTTGGCAGCCTGCTAATGCTCCTGGAAGGTACCCGGAGATGGCCTAAGGGCGTGGGCGCCTTCTCCCACATGCCAGATCTGGATACATTGATTCAGCATTGGTTGGTTTGGCTATTTGGGGAATGAACTATAGGATGGAAGATCATGCTCTTCTCTGAATCTCTCTCCTTCCTTCTCTCTTTCTTTTCCCGTCTCTGCCTTTAAAGTAAATAAAGTTTAAAAATAGTAACTTAGTTCACAAGTCATAAAGTTTTTATTAGCTGCCATGATAAATACTGATCTGATAATGAAGGTATCTTCTCTGGAGAACATCTATTCATTTATTTTTTTAAAAAATTGTTACTTTTATTTGAAAGGCAGAGTTACAGGGAAAGGAGAAACAGAGAGATCTCCTACCACACAGTTCACTCCCCAAATGGCCACAACGGCTGCAACTGGGCTGGTCCAAAGCCAGGAGCTTCTTCTGGGTCTCCCACATGGGTGCAAGGACTCAAGGACTTGAGTTATCCTCCACTACTGTCCCAGGCACATCAGCAGGGGGCTAGATAGGAAGTGGAGCAGCAGGGATACTGGCACCAAAGGCAGAGGCTTATCCTACTATACTACGGAGCCCACCCCTGTAACATTAATTTAAGCATATTTTTAGGGAGCAGAATTGCCTCCTTGAGGGGGACTAGTATCAGCTCTGGAAAGCAGTATGGGTGCTTCTGGTTCAAACAGTGGGCGTGGAAGGTCAAGGGCTCTCCTCACACTTCAAGGTCCTTGGCCATGCACCAAACTCACTCAGTCTTCTCAGACTTAGCAAGTCTTTCCCTCTGGCCCACACCCAACTTCAGGAAGGCAAAACAGTTACCTTGTGGCAAACATGGCTCTCAAGGATGAGAAGGTGGCAGCGTCCTCTTTCAAAGCCTTCAGTTCATTCCGAAGTTTGGTCATGGTTTCCGTCACCATCGCCTTTTCATTTTCATACTTGTTCTTGAGGTTGGCCAGCGCCACCTCAGCTGTCTGCAGCAGAAACAGCACAGCGCTTACAAGGTGCACACCAACACCCACACCACACAAACCTGCCTGCACACCTGGTGTGTCATTTCACAAATGGAAAATCAACTGGTTTAGCTAACATTACTGATTTGAAAGGCAGGGAGAGAGAGAAAGAGAAAATGAATCTTTGCTCCGCTAGTTCATTACCCAAGTGCCTACCAGGAGCCTAGAATTCCATGTGGGCCTGCCACCCATGTAAGAAACCTGATGGAGTGCCAGGCCTCTGGCTTCAGCCTGGCCCAGCTCTGCTGTCGAGGGTAATCGGTAAGTGAATCGAGCAGATAGAAAATCTCTCTCCCTCCCCTTTCTGTATCTCCCTTTCTCTGCCTTTCAAATAAATAAATCTCTTTTTTTAAAAAAGAAAGAAATTAGCAAAGAAACATGGCTTACAACTATATTCAAATATTTCTGTATCACTGGCACTCTGAGGGCCTGAAACATAAATAAAAGACATAGATCACTGCGATTTATTATATATTCATGTTATGTCTAAGGAAAAGAACTAAAAAAGAACCCATCATTTTCTTAGTCTTTGTATATAACTTGTTCAAAAAAGTGGATTATAGGCAAATTTATTTTTTCATAATGTCTGTAAAAGTAGAAGTTCTAAAACATTGGATGAAATGAAGTATTTATTTGAATCCAGTATACAGGCATGTCTGAAGGTCTTGAAATTACTAATGCTTCAGATCAAGAGCTAACCTGGCACACAATAGAAAATGAAACACACACACACACACACACACACACACACACACACACACACACACTAAATCAATGCACAAAAACAAAGACCTTTAGGGCATGCCTGTTTGAGGCAAAGCACATGGCATGCATCTGGGATCCACGCCAAACACGCAGGTTTTATGTAAACCAAGGCAGTGCATGATGTAGGAAAAAGTCTAACACCTAATGAACAAGTCTGTCCCGAGCAGGAAGAGCCTTTACTGTGGGATCCCCAGGAAGACCACCCCTGGCTTTTAACATTTCCTTTTGTGCTTGAAGTGGACAGCTTCAACTTTCTTACACAAACCGCTAGCACTGATAAAAACAGACCGCTGAAATCAACGACAGGCTGGGGAGGTCTGGGGTCATTTTGATTCCTAAATGGCTTCTTCCTAGTTTTGGTTGAATTTAGCTTCATATTAAAATGAGGATTTTCTCATAAGATACTTACATATTTTCTAGAGCACTAATTTTTGAAGGGATCTTCAGAAATATTACAATTAAAAAAAAACATTCAAAAGATTGGAATGGACCTAGTGAAAAATGCCAGCTGTTGAGTTGGTGGGTTTTTTAAATTAATTTGCTTAAAAGTTAGAGAACACAGAAGAGAGAGGAGAAGATGGACAAAGAGATTTTTCATCTGTTGGTTCACTGCTCATACGGCCACGGTAGCTGGGGCTGGTCTTCCCTAAAGCCAGGAGCCCAGAACTCCACATGGAAGGTAGAAGCCAAGTATTGGGCCATCCTCCACTGCTTTCCCAGGTACATTGGCAGGAAGCTGGATAGGAAGCAGAGCAGCCGGAACATGAACCTGTGCTTCAATATGGGATGCAGGCAAGTTCCAGGTGTGTCTCAAGTGGTGGCTTAACCCACTGTACCACAATGGTAGCACAATGGTAGGTTATTATTATTTTTTTTAAGTTTAGATACGTATTTTTTTAAAACAGATCACTAGTTTTTTAAGTTGTGAAAGTGTACATGCAACAAATACTGAGCCATAAAACTAGTGTCGGGAGGCATGGGAGGAGGGAGATGACAGGGGGCGAGATCTCACCAGGAAGACAAGCCCATTCACGATCTGTGAAAAGTCTCAGTGTCCAACTCTGCTTGTGCTTCTGTTGCTCTGCACACGGCACCAACCTTCTGCAGAACCAAGGCGTTCTAGACAGCTAACCGACAGCACAGGCTCACCGCATCCTCCACGCCCTCCAAAGCAAACTCGCTATCCAGTGTGTTCTAAAACACGACCTATCCAGCCACAGAGGCCAGCACAAGCACCCTATGAAGGCACACAAGGTCCTCTGTGCATCCAGTCATCTCTGCAAAACCCCTCCTTTTCCTTAAGAAACAAGCTCAGGGACTGGCTCTGTGCTGTCTTTCAGCTCCTTTAGGAAACACGGGGAGCTGCTTCTGCAGTGTCCCCCTCATCAGACATCAGTGGGTCACCCAGCCGAACTGAGCCAGGGAGCCCTCTTGTGGGCGGGAGGAGCTGTGCACTTGGCTTCTCTGAGCCTTCCTCAGCTAAGAGTGGGCTAGGACAGGGGGCTCCACACATTGGCTTACTTCATCAGAAGACATCGTCTACCAAAATATCCTCATATGCAATAACAAATGTGAAGAGCACACAAAACGCCTATTTTAAAACGGGAAGATTTGTTTTTTCTCTGTACCCCAGATCTCTCGTTTTAGCATTCATAATTAACATTTCATGGTGTCTGAATCTGACGGCTGACATCTGCTGAAAATAACGTTATTTATGGGACATCAGCCCCAGCAATAGGCTAGTTTGACGCCCAAACAAAAGCCACTTTCTATTTTCATTCTATTTTCTCACAGACTCTTTGATGGAGGGTGTTCCTTGGACAATTGTGTGGCTAGAAATGTGTTTCCCTTAAGTTTTCTTACTGAGACCATGTGGGTGGTGATCCTATTGGCACCACAAACTACCAGGAAAAGCTACCTAGTGAGCAATGATATGCTCCACTCTGGAATTCCTATGGCATGGTTTATGTCACTCTTACAGGCTGGGAATGTGCTGCCTGTCAACAGTGACAATCTGTGTGGATGGAATTCCTAGCAGGTGCCTGGTCCTTCATTTCTGCGTACTTTCTACCTCCTTGGAAATACAGACTCGCTGAATGCTTGCTGGCCTCCTCTTATCTACCCCATGCTTCAGTTATGCATCTGCACACTTTCATACATCAGGGTTCTGGCTTCTGGGTATTCAATCTTTAGGAAAAAGTCAGGAGAAGTGGCTTGACCAAGAATGCTCCAGGAGTTCATGTGCTGGGTAAGGGTTGCAAGTCTTATCCAACATGGCATTGGTGATGTATAAACACTCTTCATCATCGAGTCTTTGAATTACAGCAGAGTGGTGCCAAGAAATTTCTTTATTCTGGCCTAAATTGGGAACAGATTCCTCAAATTTGACATTCACCCAAGCCATTTTTACTTCCTTAGGGTGACAAAGTCCTATTTTGATAAATAATATTTTTATCTTTGCTACCGATCTCCAATTTGACCTGCTACACTCTGTGAACTTGAGATGAAGACTAGAAAGCTGCCTGGTAGAGGACTTAACGATGACGTGGAGTCCCCCAGATGATGGGCAAAACAAAACATCATCTGGCTCAGACATAACCTCATCTCCAACAAGCACGTATCCCCACGCCCTGCTGCTCACCTGCCCTGCCTGCATTTACAAGAAAACACCTGACATTTGTTGCTTCTCATTTCAATGCCAACATTTACACAGCTCCTTTCTCACATAGGTGCATCAAAGGCTATATTTTAGAGCAATAACTGAATGGAAGCTCAAAGTATTTTTCCCACCCATATTTCATAGCACTTCTACGTAGGTGCAACTCATGAATAGAAAATCAAATTAGTCATCAAGGAGACCTCTATATACATCAGGTTGGTGAATGCTGTCACATTCCTACTTATTCCTGAAGGACAGAGCAACGGCTGGGACAACCTCCTTGTGGCTTAAGGCCTGCCACAGGTGACCCTATGTTTCAGGCCTGAGGTCATTGGTGCAGCCGAGCTCCTGCTCTAGCTCTCACACTGCTGACATGCTAACACAGCTCCATACTGTGTAATCCACATGTAACTAGCTTCCTGGTTTTGTGTGCATCTTTCAGTTCTCCCCCATTGCCAATGCTCCATCACCTCCCTCTGACAGGTCACCCCTGAGTTCCTCATTCCTTGGATTAACCAGGACTCTTTGTTTCTCTAGATCTAAGACAAAGGGCAATGTTCTCCTTCTCAATCTTGTTTCACCTCTAGAAATTGCATCTTGACTCTCAACTCCCCCAGTTCCAAAGCCAGGGCCTGACTATTGCCTCTCAGACTCCTACATCCTGTTGCCCCAGCTGCCTGCCAGGGCACCTGTTTTTCTGGCTTTGTCTCCCTGGATGTGTAAGCGGCCATGCCAGCCCATCCCACCAGCTATGGTTTCCGTATTTGCTTAGCAGTGCCCAAAGTGCACCTGCAGCTGGTCATCTCCTGCATTCCTGCTTTAACTTTTCCTCCTCTTCCTCCACCACACTGGGCATACCTGTTCCTGCTCTTCCTTCCACCCACTCATTTGGAACAATGACACCATTCTAGTTCAGCCCTGGGACATGGTCTGTCTCATTCGCCCACCACCCAAGGATCTAAACTCTGGCCTCAATGACAATGGATACCCAACGCGTCTAGACAATCGGAGAGTTTAGCAAGCCCTGCGGAGTGGGTTACCTGCTTGTTGGCTTTCAGCACTGCCCGCAGCGTGGCGATCTGCTCCCGCTTGGTGCTCAGCAGGGACTTGAGCTTGAGGATCTCTTCCATTAAGGCCTCCTTGTCTTTGTCGATCATGGGGGCCAGCTCTCGTGCCGCTGCTCGCTGGCGAGACAGTTGCAAAGACCGGTCCACAGCCTTCTGCAGATGCTTGATTTGGTCCCGGATTATGGCATTGAGGTTGTAGATGTTCATGGGCTCTTTGCGGATGTCACTTGTATCCAACACGGGAGAAGATGGTGGGGCGGTGATGACAGGAGAGATGGTGGGGGTCTTGGTTGGACTTGGTTCTTTGCTGGTTTCTGTGTTTTCCTTTGAAACAGGTTCAGATGAGGTCCTTGTTTCTACTGGGGATGACACACCCCGCCTGGCTAATCGTGGTGACAAGAGTCCCCTGGGATCATCAGGCCCTTTAAGGCTGCCACTGCGTGTGACTCTGCTTTGCCTGTAGTAGTCCAGCATGACCCTGTTGGGAGTCTCGTTATTACACAGACACACATGGTGGTAAAGCTGGGCCAGTTCTTCACTGAAGGTCACTAACTCGTCCTGGGCTGTGTTAAGGGTATTGTGATTTTCATTGGCTATGCTGGTCATCTTCTGCAACTCCTTCTCCATGTGGGCCATCTTCTCACCACTCTCCTTGCTGGTCTTCTCCAGGCTCGTGACCTGCTCGTCATACATTTGGATCTTACTCTCATACTTGGCCTTCTCCTCGGTATGATTTTCTATAGATTTATTGTATTTCTCCTTGAGAGCCTTAATTTCTGCTTTCAAATCAATCACTTCTGTCACTGCCACCCTGTACTTGCACTCCAGGATCTCTAAGCCGTTGATGTCCACTTCATAGTCATGGGCCTCCTCCCCGGAACCCCGGCCCTTCTCAGTGTCCAGCTCAGTCTTGAGCTCCTTGCTGCTCTGCAGACCCCGCATGGCGTTGACGTGCTCCGTCAGCCGGTGCACGCGCTCGTGCTGCTCGGTCAGGGCCCCCTTGGTGTGCTCCAGCTGTGTCTGGGACTCCTGGAGGTTGACCAGAAGGATGGCCTTTTCCCGCTCCACCTGCAACAGTGAAAGAGACGCTGAATGACCTCTGTGCAACAGAGCTGCAGTCCTAAGCCGCTCTTGGCAGGGCAAGGACACCTCTACAAGCTTTGCAGCAGAACCAGCAGCCCCATTGTTACAAATGAAACTGCAATGTGTTTTCTCATTTCAGCAGTTCTGGTAAGTCAGTCTAAAAATACCTCATTCATAATACAGTATCTGGTGAATAGCCAAGCCAGTTAAAAGCTTCATAAGGGTGACTGGAAATCTTTCAAATATTTTGCTATGGGCATTACATATAATCTCAGTGAAAATGGATTTCTCTTTCTCTTAAAAAGAAAACAAATTTCCTCAAGAAAAAATAAATCTAAATACCATTTGACTAATATTGTGGTTCCAGATAAAAGCATTTCCAAAAACCCCTTCAGTAGAAGGCTGCAGAGAAAATAAAAGTAGGATTTATAACATGTACTGACCATGTCTCAAGTTTGTTTTAGAGGCAAAAGCGTTATGATATATGAGGCAAGGACTTGAGAAATTTACCAGGTATATTTTGCCAGTTCAAAATTCACAGAAACATTTTCCAAGTCTAAAAGGAAAAATACACCTGTTTGTCCAAAGCAGCACCTCCAGAGAGCATCAAAGAGAACGTGTGTGCTTGTTCCACACATGGCATGGCCTTCCACACTTGTTTCTGACAAAACCAAACAAACAGCATCCAGAATTTATCTATAGGTCATACCCTCCACCTTAGACAATTAAGGCTGATGTAACAACAACAACAAAAAAGACAACGAATGCTGTGATAGGATTAATTGTCAAGGTGAATGTATCTCTGAAACTCGGGAATCTCCTGAGAAATACCTGCACCCTGTTTATGGGAAAACCCTGCTTCTCTTTTTTTCTTTATTTAAAGAATTATTTATTTTTATTGGAAAGGCGGATATACAGAAAGGAGGAGAGAGGAGAGAGAGAGGAAGATCTTCAGTCCGATGGTTCACTCCCCAAGCGGCCACAACGGCTGGAGCTGAGCCAATCTCTGGTCTCCCATGCAGGTGCAGGGTCCCAAGGGTTTGGGCCGTCCTTGACTGCTTTCCCAGGCCACAAGCAGGGAGCTGGATGGGAAGTGGAGTAGCCAGGATTAGGACTGGCGCCCATATAGGATCCCAGCATGGGCAAAGAGAGGACTTTCACCACTACGCTATTGCGCCAGGCCCAGGAAAACCCTGCTTCTTAGAATACCAGGAAGCAAGACAGGAGACAGGAATGATCTTGGACTTTTTAGAATTCCCAGGAAGGACAGTTACCTTAGAGGCATGCTGTTTACTGTCTACATTGAAGTGATAGGATTGGAATCCTAAACTTTTGCATTGCAAACCTTTATTGAAGTAACTGAATCAGAATCCTAAACATTGTACATTTTTTAACCTGCTTTTTGCTCTGTCACAAAATAACCCCTCATTATATATTTATCCAATGTCATATAGCTATTGATTTTCTCATAGATAATTGCTATTAAAGAAACATTTACTTTGTTTGATGCGCTTCTTGTTCTTAGCAAAAAGGTAGCTGCCCAACTGGATGGACATTAAAATCATTTCACCTGCCTTGGAGTCTTGTAATATTTCTTTAAACTCCAACAATTCTACAAAACGCCACTATTATATTTTCAGTTATTAACTCAAGAGTACTTTAAATGGTATTCAAGTTTTAAAGAGTAGGTGCTTAACATTCACTGTTATCTGCATTTATAAATGTGCTTTAAATTTAAAATTACTACATGTTTCAAGTGTTTCTATTTTAATCTCCACTTGCAAAGATCTTATCCAAGGAAGACCTGCTGAGTCGATTACCGTCTTCTACGTGACCAGGAACAGCTCTTCCTTCTCCCTTCCTACAATCTCCATCTTCTTTCTAGAACCGGGAATTGTGTTTCTTCATGACACAGCTGGTTATTTTGCCAGAAAACCCAAATGCAACCTTTGTAAACTGTTTAGCATAAGTTCATAGCATATATTAACTATTATTATTATTGTTATCATACCCCACAGAAAATATTTTTAATTTCATGATGTGTATATCTTTTACAAAAACATCGTGCTCTAAACTCTTTTAGAATGTATAGCAGTTACCATTAACACTTACCACCGTTAAGGGAAAATGAAATGACCTTCTTCTGTAGAAATGATCTGTTCCTTTAATTGAAAGGCAGAGAGATACAGGTTCAGAGAGAAAGAGGGAAGAGAGAGAGGTGGGGACACGAGGCAGTGTGAGAGAAGGAAGGAGAACAACACGGCTTAGACAGGCATGTGGAAGTCAGGAGCTAGGACCTCAATCCAGGTGACCCACTTGGAGGCAGAAGCCAATACCACTTCCTCCCTGGATCTCCATTCACAGCAGCTGGAATCAGAAGCTGGAGCTGAGTGTCATAACCAGCTACTCCAATAATGGGACCCCAAATCACACCTCTACAGTTAGACCAAGTGCCCACCCTAAAACTGACTTCAAAAGAGCAGATCAAAACATAGTATGCCACTACTTCCTTCATATCCATGTGGATATGACAAAGCATGTTAACTTTAGTCTTACAGAAACAATATTTTTTCTTCTTACATGTGAAACAACATACACAGTGTAATGCTGGAAAACAATCCCAACGTTTTTCTCCTGCTCAATCTGTACAGACATAAAGTTGGGGCTACGGATCAAAGGTAGGAAATTCAGCACAAGAACACAGGACTCCTTTAAACCTATTAAGTACTCTAATTAGTTTTTCCAGACAGGAGCCACTTATTTTATTCTAACAAAACTCATTAAAGCACTTGGCTGTCACTGGAAAACGTCAAATAAAATCTCTTTGAAATAACCGGGTCTTATGAATACCAAAATACTTTATCCAATAATATCCTGAGATATTTCAGAGGGTAAAGGATGACACTAATTGAGCTGCCTGCTCTCAAAGTATACTGTCAGGTTCACAGGGACCCTGGGAGGAATAAAATGTTCTTTTATTGTATCTTGTGCTTCTGTGTTATGTGAAAGCAAGCATGACTAAGGACATTTAAAATAGTCTTCTAATTTGTTATATGAACTAGAAGACATGTGGGCATTTCAAAAATTGTGAGAAATAAGCATTATCTTTTAAAAAGTTCACCAGTTTGAGCCTGTATCACATGCAATAAGATACTGTGATGTAATCAGTGAACAAATAATCAACGTGAGTCAGACTGCTTATGCTCTACATCAAAGAATTGTAAAACCTAATACACTTTTACGACCCTATGCCTCTCGGTAATGAGGTGGGAGAGCAGAGAAATCTTTCATCTCCTTAAAATGTGTGAGGAAGACGTGAAGTATAACCTATCAAGAACATAACAGGTAACTTATAGACAACAGACTTGAATCAGCATTAAACAATAGTAAAACTACAAAGACATACAGGGGGAATCAAGAGCGATCCCAACAACCTCTTAATAGCAGGTCATATGCACAGAGCAGGGGGAAACCCCAGAGTGGAGCAGGTGGACAGGAGGAGGCTTGTATCCCAACCCATGGAGACACCCAGACCCTCACCAAGGACTATCAGTACGGGCACCAAGGACTACATCTCAACTGCCAAGGAGACCACGGGAAATTGGAGTGCCTTCAGAGGCCGAGAATTCTGAGGTCATCCAATCCCATTTGGATGTCCCACATGGGATGGAAGAAGGCCAAATCCTTCCTCACAGGATCCAATGCCATCGGAACAACAGCCAGGAGCCCTGAGCAGTCTCCACAAACAGAAGAACAGTAAACTCCCTTCGGGACTAGGGAGAGGAGCTTTCTCTGGTTCTTACTCAGTTCCAACTTTGGATCTCCACCCTTATCTGCAATGACCATCAGGGTTGCTCCGGCGCGCCCCCGCCCCCAAAACAAAACAAAACAAAACAAAACAAAAAACAAACAAAAAAATTAAAACAGATAGACAGAGAACAACAAGGCACGCTTAGAACCAGACAGGTAACGGTCAGCGGGGACTCACACATACCTTACTAGGAAGGACACGAAAATAAGTTACTCCTCACTAAGGTATTGAAGATTTCTCTGCACACCCCTCCTAAAACTGTTCTGCGCCTTAACTGTTGACATATGCCTTGTTAGAGTTATAAGCCAGTTTGGTCTATCCTAAAATCTGCCAAGTTCAGTAAAAATTACGCTTCAACACCATAAACTGCTAAATACAAAAATGAAAATAGACACGAGACAGCTGAATAGTACCCTATAGCCATTTTAAGGTGTATAGCAGTCGGTTGTGTATAAACCAAAATAGAAATGTCAATTAAGTAGTCACAGGAAGTGAACTTGCATTTTCTAACATATTGGTCACTCAATACCATGTCAATTAACTCCATAATGTTGTAAACTATTGTTGATGTTATGTTGTGGCTTTTAATTGGTCAGGATGATATTCTGCCAGCTCTGCTTTTAGACCAGAGATGGTCTCCCCAAGAAACTGTTGAATTTATCTGGACAATATGATGCTGAACTCTATGCATGGTACATGCTTGCAATGAAAGATGCATGACTGGATTTGAACTGTAATACTGCAATAAGGTGGAATAATCCACCATGGGAGAAGGTACGGGAAGGGGCTGGGGGAACCTCAGAGCCTATGAAATGAAATGAAATAAAATGAAACATAATAAAACAAAAGAAGAAATCTTTAAAAAAAAAAAAAGGTCACCAGTTTATATTTATTTTAAAGACAGAGAGAGAAGAAATGAATGAATGAACATCCATGGATGTACTTCCCAAATGCCTGCCGCAGCCAGTACTGGGCCAGAACAAGAGCCAGGAACCCAGAACTCCGATCAGGTCTCCCAGGGCATCCATGAACAGACAGCTGGGCCTGGCAAGCAGATTCGGGATGCAGATGTCTGAAGTCATGCCTTTATCACCGCACTAAAACACCTGTCCCAGCATCACCTTTTATCCCAACTTTTCAATAAATGTGTGCATGTACCCTAATTTAGTACTATAAAACTTTCATTCCATTCCCATTTACTCTGGGGAAAAAAATCACCCCTAATGTAGACAGAGGTTCCCTCTCCTTGCCTTTTCCCATAGCGTCTATGGCTTTCCTTACATGAAATGGCAGTGGAGACTTTCCTGGCACCTCAGAAACTGACTACAGCTTCACATACAAGTAATCACAGGACATTTGTGACTCACATATAATTTCTTTAAATTGTCCTCCACAACCATTTCATAAAGAAGCTGTGGCATGACCACCAGGGATCTTCGAAAAGTTTGTGAAACACATATATTATGGAAAAAAAAAATCCATGCATGGACTTCCAACGTTTTACACTCAAATCAACCTTTTAATCTCACTGTCTATAGAATGGTTCGGCTACTTGTGAAACCCTGCAAGTCGCGCATGTGTGGCTCTTGGAGACACTATGCAAACCCAGTCCTTATAGATGTTTCCACAGAACTCACTGCAACTGTTCCCCACGGGATGCTAGGAGGACTCCCCAAAGAAAAGGACCTCAAGTTTTCTCCTGTGTTATTATTCTCACAAAGGCGCTGCTGGGCTAGGAACTCCCTGTCCTTCACAAGCCAGAGGCAGGGAAGTGATGTAACTCATCCAATACTCCTGACACCCACGGTGCAAGAAAGCACAAACAGGGCCTAGGGTGGTAGCCTAGTGGCTAAAGTCCTTGCCTTGTATGCCTCAACATCCCATATGGCGTCTGTTCTAATCCCAGCTGTTTCATTTCCCATCCAGCTCCCTGCCGGTGGCCTGGGAAAACAGTAGAGGACAGCACAAAGCCTTGGGACCCTGTGCCCATATGGGAGACCCAGAAGAAGCTCCTGGCTTCAGATCAGCTCAGCTTCAGCCACTGCAACCTTTTGGGGAGTGAACCAGCAGATAGAAGTTCTTCCTCTCTATCTCCTTCTCTGTATATCTATCTTTCCAGTCAAAATAAATAAATCTTAAAAAAAAAAAAAAGAAAAGCACAGTTTTCAAGAACCAGGAGAAGTGAATCCCTAAAGACGGGAAACAAAATTTACGAGCATAAGGTGGGTCTTATAAGATAAAGAAAGCACACTGCTTTTAAAAGGGCTCTTTTTTTTTTTTTAAACAAAAATTTGACAAAAGTCTACAGCCTAGTTGAATCAACAGCAAAGCCAGTTGCAACAAGCCCAGCCATGTGTCCTGGGATGCTCTTGTCACATTTCTTAACCAACCACGGCTAAGAGGGAACAATGTGTGAGAAGAAACTGTCTACAATACTGAGCCCCAGCACTTTCAATGAAATACATTTTTTAAATGAATTGATACGTATTCCTTTAAAAGAAAAAACTGACTACAAGAAGATAAATGACAATCTTAAAACACACACACCAATTAGAGGTGGGTGCTACTGGTGTGAGGCTGGAAACGGCAAAGGCCCTTCCATTTTGAGTTTGTCTTATCAACTAAACGTGGAGCCGACTTGGGGATGCAAGCCCCTCCTACTCTTGCTCCCTACATCTCTGGGACTGGCAGCACACTCCTGGAGGCCCGGGGTGAAGGCGCGTGGCACACCGCTTCCTGGGGTCCTGAGGGACAGTTTCTCATGCAGAGATTGCCCTTGCCAAACATTCTGCTAAGGGAGCACTCCTTTTCAGACCTTCCACACCAGGAGACCTGACCACCACGCAGCTGTCTTCCTAACACAGGAGCCACATCAGTTCTCCTGAGATCAGTGCAAAAAACAATGGCTAACAAAAAATAATAGTAAGACACCAGAAAAACAACCACAAAGTGTCATCAACTCAAGGCGGGATGGTGCTGACAGGAGGACAGCTCCCCGGCCTTGAGCACTTCCTGGGCAGCAGGCCCACTCAAAGCCTCAGCAGTGACCGTCTCCTAAGCCTTCCCAACACTCTGCAGGGGGAGGCACCACTGAGACCCATTTCACAGACAGTAAAGCGCTGCTTCTCTAAGAAGGGCTCGCACCCAGCAGCTGACCCTGGAGCACTCTGGGTCATCACTTGGGCTGAGGAGAAGGAACCAATGTTTGCTGGTTAGAACCAGAGAAGCCACCCCTCCAGGGGACGAGGGACAGTGGCAGATGGCGAGCAGCAGTCCACGCCCAGCACAGATGGCCACCGAAATCCACGCTCCTGTTGGAACTCACTCAGCCGCTCTGCACTGTTCTTCGCAGTACAGGGGCCACCTTTCTCAGGCTTTTGTTCTACCCAATTTCTACCATGCTGAGGACTAAATGTGACAACTGCTCTCAAGTAACAGATGATCCCGTTGGAAACTGCTCAGCTGTCTTACACACAACAGCCTGCCCTCCTCCCCACCCCCCGCCCCAGCTCTTCCACCTAGAGATAGAGCAAACAGCCTTAACCCATATTTTTTAAAAATAAAAAACCACCAACAGAATACTTCAAAAATATGTTAATCTAACTTAATACTACTTATCTGGGGTACTCTTATGAAGACACATATCGTGTAAAACTTTTTTGAGAAAATTTATCTTTTCTATTTTCACTAAGCTGTTGCGTTAGTAAATACTGGGCAAAAAGATTGGAAAATTACTACCTATGTGGAACTCGATTTTGTGGCCAGGAGAGTCTGTATGACATTCATTATCCTTACAGATTTATTCCATTTGAAAGGTGGAGTGACAGAGGGAGAGAGATCTTCCATCTGCCAGGTCACAACCCAGTGCCTTCAATGGCCAGGGCTGGGCCAAGAACTCCAGCTAGGTCTACCAGAAGTTCAAGTACTGGAGCCACCTTCTGCTGCCTTCCCGGGTGCAACAACATGGAGCTGGATTGGGAACAGAGCAACTGGGTCTTGAACTATGCTGTAAGATGGGGCAGCAGCAGCTTAACCCACCGTGTCACAACACTGGCCCCATGTGCTTCACTCTCTGTTTGTTTGTTTGTTTGTTTTATCATATTTAAACTTAGCAGTTTTTAGTATTCAAGCAAGATTTTACAGAACTTCATGCATTTTAGGATAATCAAAATAGTCTCATAACTCTACAACCCATATATTAACAATTGAAGAGTAGAACAGTTTTACGTGGGTGGGCAGAGAAATCTCCAATAACTTAGCAAGTGAGGAATAACTGAACTCCACATCCTCCCTCGTGAGATCTAGAAAAAGCCAAATTGGGGGCCTGACCAGCAGGGTACAGGCCAGCTGACTTTTTCCTGTCTGTTCAAAGCTTTCTAGATTAGTCTCTGTCTATCGGAGGTAATTTTGGGGCTACTGAGTGACCCTGATGGTCAGTGCAAGAGAGGATGGGGAGTCGAGCTGGAACTAAGTAAGGACCAGAAGAAAGCTCCTCTCCAGAAGGAAATTTACAGTTCTTTTTATCTCTGAGGGCCACCTGGGGCTTCTGGCTGTTGTTCCAATGTCACCAGACCCTATGAGGAAGATTCTGGGCTGCTTCAATTCTTTGGGGGAGATCCAACGGGAAGTGACTGACCTCAGAGTTCTTGGCCTACAAGGGCACTCAAATTTCCTGTGATCTCCTTCGCAGTCGGCTTACGGTCCTTGGTGCCCATACTGACAATCCTTGAAGTTACCCACTGCTTCTGTGGCGAAACATGTGCTTCACGCTTACCCTCTGATCTTTGTTCAAATCTGCCACTTCTAACGTGAGGTCGCTTTTAGCAGCGTGCTACCGGATATGGGAAGTGCACAGTGCGTTTTCGATGTGCTTTATTAACACAAACCTGTTCACAAGCTAACATCGTTGGCTTTCTTATCTCTTACTACATCTGCTAATTTTATTTTTCCATCATCCTTCTCATGGCAGCAGAGAATTACAAGGTCTGCTTGCCATCCAAATGAGACTTCCGGAGTCTTGACAGGCCTTTAATTACCAAACACAAAGGCCTCGGAGCAGGGCTGGGGAACATTTTTCCTACCAAGGGGCCTTTTAGATATTTATAATAGTATTCACGGGCCATACAGAATTGTCAAAAACAGCCTGCTAGTGGTTGCTTTGGCAGGACCACATCAAATGATTTCACCTGCCTTTCATGATGCTGGGACAGGAAATATCCTATCCCTGCCCTGGTAGGCAAGAATGAGTTGGAGGAGAAAGCCCAGATTCCTGATGGCACAAGTATAAAGAGCCCAACAATTTACAGTACAAGGAAGCCCCAGGTGGTGGTACTGGCAGTGAGGCTGCTCCGCCCACATTCCCATTAGCACTGGATTAAGACAGGTAAAGAATCCTGAGCAAGACTTGGAGAGAACAACCTGAAAATCTGTCAACATTAGGCAAAGCTAAAGGTTAGGACTCTTCCTTTGATTTGAAGATGCTAAGCGCATGTTTCAGGTTTATGCCTATTATGCATTTTCAACCACATGGCATCCTGGGTAATTTACATATAGGAAGTTTTTCTGCCCTTGAAGGCACACAACACTGATGTGCAACGGCCCCTCTCACTGGAAGCTATAGGTACTGTGTGTTGTCACAGAAAATTGTGTTTTCTAACGCTTCTCCTGTGCATCACAACACTGACTTCTCCTGTCAGAGCACAACATGAGACTAGGAAATACCCCATCCTCAACCCTCCCCGCGATTCTCGGGACGCCCGTGACAGGACGCCCGCGTGAGGCACCTACCTGAGTGAGCTGCTGTTTGAGCTTCTGTATTTCGGAGATGTTCAGCTCGCTGAACAGGTCTGAGACGGGGTGCAGGGGCTCCCCTTTGCGCAGGGCAGGCGGCCGGTAGTCTCCGTTCAGCTTCACCAGAGGCCCGTGGATGTGGCCGTTCATCTTGTCGTCGTTGTTGGGCTCGCCGCCGTCCTCGGCGAACTTGAGCCCATCCACAGCGATGCTGAGGTGATTGTCGCTGAGGCTGATGTACTGCGAGAGCTCCTTGCGCAGGCTGTTCTTCTGCTCCCGCTCGTTCTTGAGCGTCTCCAGCGCCTCCTCCAGCTGGTGCTCCGCGATCTCCTTCAGCCGCGTGGCGTCCTCCAGCTGGCTGTTCAGCAGCACCGTCTCCTCCTCGAAGCGCTTGATCTCGTGCTTCAGGCCTTCGTACTCCACCTGGATCAGATAGGACAGGGCAGATTCACACAGCTAAACTTTAGGTCTCACCCATCTGCCAGGAAACCCACCAGTGGACTTAACCACTAAAGCCACCTGTGCTAGTTTGCCAAATAGATGAGAGCATCCCATGTGCCCTAAAGTGACACAGTAAGCACATATATATGTGTGTTAAATGTGTGTATCTATGCATAACATGTATGCAGAATCAGATACGATGCAATATAAGCAAATATCATGCACAATACCTACATACATGCAACATAAATATGTAACAGAATTCTCAGCAGAGATGAACAAGATGTCTACTGTCTTGGGGATTTCCATAAGGATCTGATGCCCAAAAGAGGGGCAGTGTTGACCCAACAAGGCTATACCCTTTTGAGTTAAGATATCAGAATATTCACACTCCAAGGAAAGGTTTTACCATCACCAAGTGTTTCTTTCATTTCATTTCTGGCTAAACAAACAATAAGAACATAATCTCAGCAAAATCGGCTTGATAGTAATGGTAAGAAAAGATGTGTATCTACTACATGCTAAAACATAGGTCCTAGACAAGCCAGTATGCAGTAGCCGATAATAAACCAGGTCCGCAATCGGCAGCATTTCAGAACTGTCCAAACCACCTGGACAGAACCCTCGGAACATGTGCACATGGAGACTCTGGGGTGATGTGAGGTGGCAGTTCCTCATCCCTGGGTACTGGGATGTGTGGAAAGGCATGAGGAGTTTCCCCTTCGTCTCTTCCCTTCCCCCAGAAACAAGAAATATGAAATTTGGAAGCAATGAGTTCACCTAATTTTCCCTAAATGTCAATCCTTCCCATCCTGATCAACCATGTAATCATTATTAAAAAATAAAATTAAAATTAAAAATAAACCAGATCCGCACTATTATCCATGCAAGAGGAGCATGTTCAAACACAAACCCTTCTGGACCAGAGTGCATGCAGGTGGTGGGCACCTGGTCTCTAAACCCACTTGCCTGTCACAGGACCCTGTCCTTGTCATAGGCCACCTTCCAATCAACTTTTTTTTTTTTTTTAAGATTTATTTCTTTTTATTGGAAGGCAGATACACAGAGAGAAGGCGAGACAGAGAGGAAGATCTTCCCTCCAATGGTTCACTCCCCAAGGGGCCACAATGGCTGGAGCTGAACCAATCCGAAGCCAGGAACCAGGAGCTCTTCTGGATCTCCCATGCGGGTGCAGGGTCCCAAGGCTTTGGGCCGTCCAGGGAGCTGGATGGGAAGTGGAGCAGCCGGGATCAGAACCGGTGCCCATATGGGATCCCTGTGCATTCAAGGTGAGGACTTTAGCTGCTACATTATCGTGCCCTCAATCGACTTTTCACCTGGACAACTACCTTCTCTCCTCCATGAAGAAAGATTGCTTTCTTCACTTAAGCCTCCCTCCCGCTGGGTGCCTCCAGGCTCCTTCCTCATGTTTGAAATAGAAATCTGAGCTTCAGCAAACCTTTGCTGAATAAATAAACACTATGAGTAAGAGAAAAAAAAGGGTGGGGGGGAGAGGGCGTTGGATCCAATCAAAGCCAGGAGCCTGCAATGTCACCTGTCACCTGGGCCTCCCGTGTGGGTGGCACACACACAGGGCCGTGGGGCCATCTTCCCCCATTTCCCAGGTGCATTTACAGGGAGTGGGATAGGAAGCAGGGCAGCCAGAGTTCCAATCGGCACTCCAGTGTGGGGTGGTGGTACTTCAGGCAGCAGCATAACCCTCTGTGTCACAACTCTGGCCACTGCATTTATTTTCACATTTATTTTGGTTTGAATTTGAAATTTTAGAGAAAAAGATGAAAATGGAGCAGCTGTGACTCGAACTGCTTCCCATATGAGATGTTAGTACTACATTGCTGACTCCTGGGTTCTTTTCTTGAGCCAGTCCAACAAACCATGGTTCTTCTGTGTGCCCTGGAGTGTGGTGGCACCACAGGATCAGAGTCCCAGCCAAGCATGAGACCCACAAAGAGAACAAGGAGGCAATGAATTGGTATCAGAATCATCCTAAGAAGTGCCAGCGCTTGGCTGGTTTCTGTGCGGCAGCTCCGAGGCTGGGGAGCCTTGCTTCTTACCACATAGTGATGGAGAGCAGGCACCACAATGTTTGCAGAGCCCAGGACATACAAAGTTCTTAATTTGGCCTTGCATTACCCAATCTAACACACAACTTTGATCATTCACCTACACAGAGTGACAGTTTGTCATGTGCCTTATCCCAGGGAGTATATATTTTGTTTTAAAAGACATATTTGGGGTCCAGCCTTATGGCATAGTGCCACCTACAATGCTGGCATCATATATGAATGCTGATTCAAGTCCCAGCTGTTCTACTTGCCATCCAGCTCCCTACTAATGTGCTGGGAAGCAGCAGAGGATGGCCCAAGTTTTGGGGGGCCCTGGACCCACTTGGAAGACCCAGGAGAAGTTCCTGCCGCTTGGCTTTAGTTTGATCCAGTGCTGGCCACTGTGGTAGTTCGTGCAATGAACCAGCAGATGGAAGATCTCTCTCTCTCTCTCTCTGTTTCTCTCTCCTTCTCTTTTAAATAAATAAAATTCTTCAAGCATCTGGCCTCCTGGAGAAATACTCCTGCTTAAAGAAAAGAAATACTTCCTGTTTAAAGGAAATACTGCAAACATTCCTAGGTCTCTAAGGCTGTTTCCTGACACAGCAACGTGTGCCCAGAGGGAACGTTGTTCAGAATAGAAACAAGATTCAATTATTCACTTTCACAAAGCTATGGGCTGGGAAAACAGAGGAATGAGTGTTGCTGAGCGCATCGGCTCTGGGCAGGAGATGCGAGCGACATGGAGCTCATTGTTTCTTTTCCCCTTTCACTGCCATGTCTCCACAAACTAAAACTAATAACTTCCTGCCTGTGTGCAGGGATACTGGGGCTGTGTGCCTTCCTGTCCTGGTGTCAGCAATGCTGGGCCCCAGAGACACCAGCAACTCCTAGAAGAGGTGGCCATGAACTCCATCTTTCCTTCTCAGCAACCCTCCGCTCAAAATTTAGCTTCGGAAGCTCCATCAGCAAGCCCGAGCCTTCCCACCTCTGCTGGAGACTCTAGCAGGCACCAGGCCTCCCCTTACGGTAACTGAAGATTGTCAGAGCCTCAGTCTTCCCTTTGATGATCCAAGTCAATGCTTGGCTAGAGATGAACTCAGCAAACTACACAAGTGGCATGGGGGTGACAGAAGAGTCAGATTTCCTCTTAGAAGGCCCCAAGCACCAAGACCCCACAGCCAGGGCCAAGCTCTTTTCTGAGAAACTACCAGAAACCCCAGTACCTGATCAGACAAACCAAGGCCCATCGAGGCCTCGAGCCCAGACATAGGTCCCAGTGTGCCATTACATAGGAAACACGTTGGTGCCCATCACTGACTAACCAAAGGCAAGCCACAGGCACTAGAGACCAGTACAGGAGCTAATCCTGCACTGCCCCACCTCGCCCTGGGAGCCTGGGAGCAGAGCTGCAGCTGCCTGACATCCTGCTCTGCACTCAAAGAATACTCATGCCAGTGACTGGGATACAGACTCAGCTTTGGCTTCGACAACAATTCCTCTGATCAGGAGTGTCCTAGTACGTGACTACCCTGCCCTGAAATCTCCCTGAGACATTACTACAAGAAGTCTGTTGTTTCATTTGACTGATAGATTTTTCTGGTGCTTTCTTGGGAAACTGAAAGCTTACTGCACTTATTTTTAACATATTGCTTTATTTTTTCTTTTAAAATGTAATTTTATTAAAAGGTAGAATTACACAGAGAGAGGTCTTCCATCCTCTGATTCGCTCTCCATGTGGCTGATGCAAGCTGAAGCCAGGGCCAGAAGCTTCCTCCAGGGTTTGCACAGAGGTAGCCTGGGCTCAACTTTCTGAAATAAGTCATTAGTGTTCCCTCATATTTTACAATCAGGATTATAAATAAAAATTGAAATAGTTGATGATAATCTGAGGTTTTTAATTTCCTCTCTAAATTGAAATATGAGTGTAAAGAGAAAGAAAATGGCTGCTAGCACTGCCTGGCTTAGATCAAGTGTAGAACCAAAAAATGCTTTAATCCTCCAGCAGGGATTTCTTAAACCCCCACTGAGGGCCACCTTACGCTGCAGGTACTAAATCTTAGTGGAAGGAGATAGAGAACAAATTAACTAACAGACACTAGAGGGAGTAAGAGGTACTCATTAGGCAACTATTATTTAGAAAAACATCAATAAAGAGAGCTAAAGAAACACATTTCAGAAGGAACAATCTTTTCTCAATTAAATATTTTACAAAGGTGGAAACTCTGCTGTCTGAAACACGAAACCCGGCTGCAGGAGTGCCCAGCCGGTAGGGCACAGAAGACGGCTGTGTCGGCAGAGGCCTGTCTGCAGAGCCAGCAGTGGCACCATGCTGCAGCTGGTTCCCAGGGAGACTCAGCACTGGGTCAGGAGGCAGCTACTGCAACCCAAGGAGTGAGCTTGGCATCTTCAAGTCTCTCCCTGGGCACAGACAACAGCCAGTGAGAGAATGAAATGAACTGCCCTCCAGTCAAGTCTGTCAAGGATCAAGTCTGCTTTGATTGTCAAGGACTCCCATGCAGAACCTCTGTTTAATGCATAGGCCCACATTGTAAAACAGCCCACTAAGATTTAAATCCTTGGTTTGACTGGCTGGATGAATGTCAGCTTTGATTCTGTTAGCCAACTCCAAAGGTATCAACTGACAAGTGCAGAGTGACATTCAGACCAGTTTGGCAAAGAATGCCAGCTATTGTCATCTGAAAAAAAAAAAAAACCTGTGGTGCTTGTACTTAAATACTACATTGAACTCACAGTAATCAGAGAATTCACAATAGCTGCCAACCTCTATAAAAAAAGGCCAATAGTGGGGGTTGACAGCACTTCCTTCACTGGGAGAGACCTACACACAGGGCATCCCTTGGTCAAGAGCTAAGCCAGAGTGGCTCCCTGAACAAAAACCAATTTTGAAATAATTGGGCAGCTAATTGAGAAATTACCATATGACATTTAGAAATAAAAGAGATGCAGGAAATGTTTCTCATTCGGAGTAGGGCGGGAGAACCAACTCTTTGTAGTTAACCATTGGATTCCCACAGACTCCACACAGGGATCCCCACTGAGAAGCTCTGAGAGCCACAGATGTGTCCAGTCCACCAGGGCTGTCTTTCAGGACTCTCCAGGACCCTGTCCAGGAAACCACGCAGGCCCCTGCTGGTGTGGGCAGCAGCCTGAATTGCAGGACGCAACCAGCTGGAAGCAATGACCACTTGAGATATTTTCATCTGTGTCAGGTCCTTGAATTCTTCACCAGCGACTCACAAAACAAAACTGGAAAACGTCCTACTTATTTTAAGGAATGTTTGGGGAGCATTTTTCTAAATCCAGCTCAGTGCAAAAGTCCCGCCTGTGAGCTCATTTACCCGAGTCAGAGCCTGACCTGGGATGCTCACACAGCTGCCATCACTCAGCACGGCCAGTGACTCAGCACACGGGAGCACTCTGCCAGCTTGTTTTGTTTGTTTGTTTTGTTTTGTTTTTCAGACAAGCTTAAACTGCTCTCCTACTGGCTCCATATTCCAAAGTCAGGGGAAACAGCAGAGATGAGACAATCAAACCATAACGGTCAACACTTGGGTATTTTTTTTTTTCCTTTCTCTCTTTTCCTCTTAACCCTTGGACCTTACAAAACTGTGTTTGGGATGGAGATACCAAGTTGGGAAGGGAGCGAAGGTACAGGCATAGGTATGGGCTGGCTTCTGGGCAGACGGAGGAGGGCGGCGCAGTTCTTAGCCCTCACTGCCAGCTCAGCGCCAGGCACACAGTTCCAGGCTTACAGCTGCATTTAGACAGGGTGGAGGTTGCGGTTGAGGAAGCCCCTTGAGAAGAACTTAAACCTCGCATTCACCTCTGCTTAATCAAAGAGCTGTACTCACAAATAAATCATTCTAAAATGACAGATCTAGAATGCTAATAACTCAAGACTAATAGCTATGGGAAAAACACAATGTCAATTAAATCAGATACATTAAGCTATCAGAGCCTCACTTCAGAGAAAAATAAATCCAAGTTTAGAGATGAGGTCATCAGGTTCAATTGTTTACGGTGTACCTGACTGGAAATAAATGAACCCAGAGCTCAAGTGCAATCTGGGGCCCAGGATCTTCCCCAGTAAAGCTCTAGTAGAAACTATCCTACCAAAACGCGCTCTTTTGCTGAGATAGGAGGCTGGGCGGTGCCAGAACCTCAGGACCACAGAAGATTCCACAGGTTCCTTCCTTCTGCCTCCACCCTCACCGCTGGCCTCTCTGGCTCCCCCGCCGCAGCCTTGCCCCAGAGCGCACCTGGTTCTGCTTCAGCGTGGACACGAGCTTCTGCAGCGTGATGTTCTCTTCCTCTAGCTCCGTGTAGTCCTGCAGGAGCCGGGCCTCCCGGAACTTGTACTCCCGGATCTCGTCCTTCATCCGCGCCCGCTGCAGCTCCACCATCTCGCTGTTCTGAAAGCACATAAGGAAAGGCCGCTGAGAACTGCCCTCAATCAAGCATGCAACCCTGATGGTTCAAATTCACAGTAAAAACTCTGCATCAGATGGAACTGGCACTGCCCTTCGTGAATGGCAAATCGATCACAATTGTCAAAAATTTCAAAGCGCATATGCACACAGCCTTAGGAATCTGACAGTTGGAAACTCATTCTCAGGTAGGTTTCAGAGGTAAAGAAATTCTTAAACTGCAAATCATCTAAATGTTCACTCTGGGGGAATAAGGACACAGGGATGCACCCATCAAGTGTGATATTATAAACTTACAGAAAACTAGATACGATGTACTATTAAACGTAAAAATCAAGCTACACATTAGTCTCCATAGTAGTATCTGTTCTGTTACAAATCAAAGGGGTAACACACAACCTCTCATACTTTCATGTTCCCATAATATCTATAGGAAAGCCCTGGAAGAGGCATGTGTTGGGCCGCAGGGGGACACCAAGGCAATGACCAGAGGAGCCCATTGCTTTGATTGTCTATACATCTGAGCCATCAGAATTTCTTTTCAACAGCAAACAAGCACTCCTAGGTTGTCTATGCAAAAGGTACAGGATATCAATCATGTGAATCAGGAAAATATTTAACAGCAGCACTGTGTTCCATGTCAGTCCTACATTTTATGCCAAAGGTGGTTAGTATTTAACAGTGCTGCTGTTTACAACAGGAATTTACCTCACTAACATGAAGCTGATGGAAATAAGGCAGGCATAGACGCCTGGACTATTCTTCCTCTACTAAATTCAGAAACATGCTGAGCAGTATTTCCCCAGAAGCCATGTGGCAGCCCCGGGTCTTGAGCAGGGCCAAAGTATTTGAAATGAGGTCACTAAAGACAGTTCAATCTGATTTGGAGATGCTCTGAGGAAAGGGCAAAAATTGGTCAGAGAAATGCACTTGCCCAGAGAGAAGACTCTGAGAAAAGGGAGAGGGAAGTGATGGACATGTGGCCAGGGAAGTGAAGCCTGGAGGTAGGCCGAGGAAGTGGCCAGCAGCAACAGAAGCTATGAGAAGAAGGGCTGTTTCTCCCTACAGCTGTCAGAGGGAGCCGGCCCTGCTGACACCTACACCTCTGGCCTCCAGAACTGAGAGACACAGAGTCTGCTCTTTGAGGTAACCCAGGGTGTGCATGGTAGGGATGCCAACTAACTCACGGGGCCAGAACTACTGGATAGGTGGCAGAGTGCTTCCCATGGGTGCTGCACATGTGTTATAGTTCTCTGTCCCCAGGAAGGCCCACCTTAAGAGGACACCTGGCTCTCCTGTGCCAGCCTTTCGATGACCCTGGTTTGACCACCTTGTCTACAAACAGCCCCCTGTGAGCCTGACTTCTTCATCTCCCCTCTGCCTGAAGATGGCAATTGTTTTCTTTATGATCTGATCCCAAGGTGCAGGTCACCCTGCTTCTGCCTCTGCTTTCATGAAAATAGCAAATACCCAACTTAAAATCTCCTGAATCACTTCCTGGGCAACAAACAAGTCACTCTAAGACAGACAAAGCTTCTTCTCAACAGTCATCAATCAGCTCAGGGTCTAGCGACAATAAGGGTCAACTCTGAACGAAGGCAGAAGACTAGGGAGAAAAGTTATCCTGGCACTTGTTAAAACAGAGAGATGGACTTGATTCCAGACCTTTGCAACTGGAGAAATGACAGTGCAGACTCAACTATGAATACAGCAGAGACACATAGGGGGTGCTGACAGGTTCCCCACCAAGCTGGAACAGCAACAGAAAGGGCAGAGAGAAACCCTTACACTTACACTTAGGTGCTATTTCATAATGAAATGGGTAAGCCACAGGCTGGCACTGCTAACCTTGGGGCAGGAGGAAGAAGCAAGACACTTTCAGTGTTTGGCATCTCTGAAATTCTTACCTAGGCTGTGGTTTAGGAAACACAGCAGTTGGAGCAAAGTAAGAGAGTCTGCAGGAACTTCTATCACAAAGGATTCTGGGGAACAAGCAACGCCTGTTAAGTAAAGCTCAAGTTGTGTTTTTGACCAGTGAAATTGACAGCTGGGAAGGCAGACTGCAAGAAGAAAGAGTTCAAGGAGACAGAGCAGCGGCTAGCACTCCCATGGGTCAAGTGACTGAAGATGGGAGGAAAAGCTGGTGGCGAGAGGGGGAGTGTGAGATGAAGGGGCAGCTTAGAACAGACTGCCAGTCCTCAGAGGATGTGATGACCAAGGTAAAATTAACAGTAAAACACAGCAACATCCTCATAAGAATAGCAGCAACTAAACAGACTTGTGAAAAGACCAAAGAAGAAACGATACAGCAAACCGACTGTGCGCTCTTGATGTGTCCCATAAAAAATGACAGGGAAGATTCACTGTTTGGCCCACGCAGGAGTCTCAGATCCTGGAGAAGGCAGCCAAGTGGACTGGGCCAGGTGGGGAAGCTGGAGGGGTTGGGAGTGGAGGGCAGAGTGGGTATCACTTCCCACCCAGCAGTGCAGGCCCAGTTCCAGCTGCTGCACACGTCTGGGGAGTAATCCCCAGACAATGGACAATTCTCTCTCTCTTCTGTTTCACTCACTCACTGCCTTTCAAGTTAATGAATTAATAAATCTCTAAAATAATACCAATTAAACAGCCAGACATGTTGCTGTTGACGATACTGGGTAGGAAGCGTGTGTCCCAAAGCTGAGTGCTGGGTTGATTCACAGCCCCTGACTCCAGGTCCTTGCTGAAGCATGGACCGAGAAGCAATGGTGATGGCTCAGCTGGCTAGGTCCCTGCCAACCTCCACTGGAAACTTGAACTGAGTTTACAGCCTAAGCCCTGACTGTTCAGGGAGGGAAATAATCAAAAGAAGAAACATCCTCAATCTCTAAAATTCAAACGGCTCTTATATGCTGTCCAGTGGTCACAGGGTAGTAAGTTTTCCACTTCTCCCTTCTGCCACTATCGATCCCTGCCTGCAACCTCCGTTCCCGTTTCCCTGGGTGAGGGTGGGGGAAGACGAGGCGATGCGCCTCCTGATCACAGCCTCATGTTCACTGATCTCCTCCATTTCACTGCACTCAGTTTAAAGAAGTCCTTGGCCTTCACGCCTGTGATCACAACTGACTCTCACTCAAAACTGAACCTGACCTTGTCAAAGTTATCACCACTGGCCGTGGAGGTCCCATCAGGGCCCTCCTCTCACTGGGCTTCCTCCAAGGTCTGGACGACCGCAGAATCTCTTTCTCTTGCTCCCACTTGGCTACCTGTCCCTGCGCAGCCCATAACTGGCTCCCAGCCTCTAGGCCTGGCTGTCAGGTGTCAGGTCTTCAGCAAGCCCTTCTCCCTCAATCTGTGGACTCACTCTCCCCAGGCCATCTCCCCAGGCCTATATGCTGAGTCTCTATTCCCTCAGGGGCTAACAACTCCCTGTCAGTCTTGACTTCCAGAGGCCTCTAATGACCAAATAACTGGAAAAGTTTTTCATGCGTAATAGAAAGTGACCAAGTTGAGGAAAGTGTTGTGGTATAGCCGTTAAAGCAACTGCTGGCGACACCAGCATCTCCCCTTGGGTTAAAGTTCCAACTTCTCTACATCCAGTCCAGCTTCCTGCAAAAGTATTTGGGAAATCAGTGGAGGATGGCCTAAGTGCTTGTGCTACAGCACCCACAGGAAAGACCTCGATGAAGCCCTTGGTTTCCGCCTGGTTCAGTCCTGGCCATTGTGGTCTCTTGGAGGAGTGAACCAAAAGATGGAAGATCTCTCTCCTGGCCTCTGTCTATCTCTCTCTTCCTCCATGACTTTCAAGTAAATAAATAAATCCATTTAAAAGAGAGAACATGTTTGTATGGAGAAGGAGGGATGAAAGGGACTATACCACATACCCAACCATAGGCCTCTCCCAAGGGCAGAGGGCAAGCTGGACCATGAGATTCAGATAGCAATATAAAAAGCTAACCAGAGTAGGCAGATGCAAGGGCTCTCAAAAGTGGATCAAGTCCTGATTAACTATGAGTGAATGAGGGAAAGAAGCTGAAGACAGCTGACAGATTTACAGAGAGGAGAGACCTTTTGAGAAAGATCTTTTGTCTACTTGTTCGCTCCCTAGAGGGCTGCAATGAACACAGCTGAGCTGATCCGAAGCCAGGAGCCAGCAGCCAGCAGCTTCTTCTGCCTCTCCAACATGGGTGCAGGGTTCCAAGGCTTTGGGCCATCCTCTATTGCTTTCCCAGGCCGCAAGCAGGGAGCTGGATGGGAAGTGGAGCAGCTAGGACACAAACCAGTGCTCTTATGGGACCTCAGTGCGTTCAAGGCAAAGACTGCATCACTGAGCCATTGCATTGGGCCCCTGGAATTCATTTTCAAGATGAAAATGTTCTGATATAGACTATGGCAAGGCTCCCAAATATGAGGCCACATCACAAAGCCTGCCGGCAAAGGCATTAAATCACAAGTCAATTTTTTGTGCAGAAATAATTTGAAAAGTATGTACAGTTTTCTTTTAACACGTATATTTTTTCACGAATTTTTGAAGAGTGTTTTATATGTGGCAAAACCAAAAATCACTGCCTGGCATACTTTATTAACTCAGTGAATTACAGGAGTTTCAGCTATAAGTTAGCAGGGTTGGCCAGGATGGCCTGGTGTTCTTCCTGTCTTGAGCCGAAGGCACTGCAGACACAAGGAGGGCTTGTAGAGCCCTTTTCTTCCCGATACACAATCCCTTGGGCAAGGTACCCTCACTGTGCCAGGAAAGGAAGCACACCACATCATCGCACCCTGCCAGCCGCTGCCGACCAGACCCACACACACTAACGCACCCACACGACCTCTGTCTCCCACCAGTGCTTCTCCGTGGACTTTACCTACCACTCACCGCCCCACAGCCACATCCCTCTGCCTCAGCATTTCTTCAACAATTTGTCATCTCCTGCCCTAAATGATCTGTAAGTTGTCTGTGTGGTTTTATGTCTCCTGCCAGCTGAATTCTCAGGTCCAGCCGGTGGCAG